AGGGGACATTTACAGTGATGGTGTTTTTCTTCCCAAGTACCCATTACCTGTGATGGGGCCCTGCTCTCCTGGAGATGGCAGAACTCCCGCCTACCCGTGAGAAGCAGGGAATTTTCCCCTGTTTTGATTTGGTTGTGTGCTTGGCTTTTGCTTTCCCTATTAAACTGTCTTTATCTCCATCCATGAGTTTTCCAGCTTTTAGACTTCTGATTCTCTCCCAGATCCCACTGGTGGGTGAGTGAGAGAGTGGCTGTGTGGGGATTGGCTGCTGGCTGGGGTTACACCATGGCAAATGTGGATACAGTTTGGTCACTGACCATAAACATATGGTATTCCATAAACTGTGGGTAGTGGGGCTCACTGTAACCCACGTGAGGTGAATTTTTGCACGACCCACAACAAATTAGAGGTACATGTGCATATGGTGAGTATCACCATATGGGGGGATCACCAACCTGGAGCTGGCATGGTCTGGTAAATCCACAGGATGCTGATGTACCAGGAAGACATCCTTCCTCAAATATAGAAATTGAATAATTCTGCTGATGTACACAAACTAACAAAAGAACGTCTCTGAGTGTGCCTGTCCTTACCCAGATCACCTATTTTTTTTTTCTGGCTGAAGCCAAGAGGAGTATTTTTATTCTTCATCACCCCAATATTCTGTCTGCAGCAGCTGACAGTTGCCTGTGCTTTGAAGTTCCTCATGATGTGGAATTTCCTTTGGTCCACTGAGTCTGGATAACCCATGTGCACACATGAGCCCTGCTCTGAGTCCCTGGAAGAACAGAAGCAGTTGTTACCCCTTGCTTTGTATCCATTGTGGGGCTCTGAATGCTTCCATTTAAAAGCAAATACAAAGAAATTCAAAATCCTATCCTTTTTACTGAATTCTGGTTAAACTTTTTGTTTTCAAAAAGTATGGCTCAGAAAACCTTGCTATTTTTTTTTCTTGCAAAATTGTTATCAGTTCTTTGAGAAAAGAATGATGGAGCTTTCAGAATGACTTTTCTAGTGCTGTATCCTTAGAGCTTGCTTAAGAACTTCCTAAGCCAAGCTTATTTGTTACTGCAAATGTCATATTTGTTACTGCAAAATACCCCAGGTACCACTACCTGCACATTCAAGTTTTTTTTCCACAAAACTATTGTAAAGAAAAAAAAAAAAAGGCCACCCCATCTAAAGTGTAAAACTACTCCAAAAAATATAGGCTAAGCCTAAGGGAAGATGCCTTAGAAGCTACAGTCAGTTCCCCTCTTTATCAGTAGCCTCTTCTTTTGCTGGTGCTTCCCATTTCCCAAGTCCTTGTTACCCTCCTATTCTGGTCCTGGTGTTTCTCCAGAAAAGGACAGCCTTTGAATTTCAGATATTCATAACATACATGGGTGACAATAGCACTGCATGGCATAAACAGCTACGTGTGGTTTACATGTCACCACCTGATTCCTGTTGTGTTGAAGCTGGGAGTGCAGCCAATCTGTGGGAATACAGGATTATTTTAATCCTTCTCAGTGGCACAACCAGGTCTGGCCTTTGTGCAAAGAATGTGACGGACTTTTGTTCCCCAGGGACAGCTGCCAGAGCCTACCTGTTGTCCCAGTGTGTTTCATCCCAGAGCATTTGCAGGCAGTGTCTGCCTGGCAGTTACTCCACTGCCCTGTGCTCTCTGACTCTGCTCTTTCTTTTTCATGTTTACACAATGCTTGCAATTTTAGATGGTCAAGCAAATGGAACAGACTGCCCAGGGAAGTTAAGGAATCACCGTCCCTGGAAGTGTTGAAAAAAACATGCAGATGTGATTTAGTGGTGGACTTGGCCATGCTGGGTAAATGGTTGGACTCAGTCTGGGAGGTCTTTTCTGCCCTTAATGATTCTACTGGAAGTCAGCAAAAGGGGCAGAAGCAGGAGCTCTTCCCACTCTGTAGCACTTCCAGTGGTGGTTCCCCAGGGGATGTTAAACCTGTCTCTAGAGTCTAGGTTCTGTGCAATTTTCTCCTTGGAGAAAAAGTGGGAAAGCTCGTGGACACTCTCCTGTCCTGCATGAATATTTCTGTGAGCACTGTGCTTCAAACTTACTGACTGCTCCTAGGATTAATTTGTTCAGCTTTTCCAAGCTATTTCATGGCAGAAAAAGAAAAAAAAAAAAAAAAAGGCAAGAGAAGACGCTAATTAAGTGGACATTATGCAAACTCCTTTTGCTTTGCAAAGGAAAGACACAAATTGTTCTCCTACCTGTGTGACACACTTTGCCATGGAACAGGAGTTCCTTTAAGTAATATTGACCTCTTAGAGCAAATTATTTCCTCAAAAATCACGTTTGCTATTTGATGGGTTTTCTGTCTCATTAGAGAGCCATTCCAATATAGCAGAGCTGATTTTTACCACCAGCTGCACTGCAAATTCTGGAGTGCTTTGTGAAGGTTCAGTTACCAAGAAATGTGATTACAAAGACTTTAATTTGCATATACAGGACAGATACTTTTCAGATACTATCTTTTGTTAACTTTTAAGTGCCAAATACATCTATAAATAGGTAAGGCTTGATTTTGACACTATTGTCAAAATAGGTAACCTTGCCCTAGGAGTACATCCATCTAAGTCTGTTAGACTAGACTTATGGGAAAAAAGTCAGAAATAAGATTGCTAGTGGTAGAATTTGGCCTAAATTTATCTACATATTTAGGTAGTCCTTATGTGTGTGCAGACCACTTGGAAATGTATGCATCAACTTCTTAGCCAATTTAATGCTCTTGCAAAAGGATTTTTCTGTGCTAGTGAGTTTTCACAAAAGCAGATGGGGAAAAAGCTCCCAGTCTTTTGTCCTACCCAGTCTTTTGTCCTAATGAGAGTAGCTAGAGGGAAAAAAATCCTACATTTGAATTTTTCCAAAATTTTCCATGTCAATTTCCATACCATTTATTTCAATTTAAAAAAAAAAAAATCCATGGCATTGGGAACTTGACATTGTAGTAGGCTGGCCATGCCAAACTTCAAGTTCTTATGCCTTGGAATATGGCAACAGGAGGGTTTCTCAGGGAAGTGTTGCTGTGCTTCAAATACTTTTTTTTTTTTTAACAAGGGTAGGTCTCTATAATCTTTTACTTAGAAAACTGCTGGTTCTGGATGGTAATTACAAAAAGGAAGGGAAGGAATGCACTGGAATGGAAAACTGAAAGTGAATCGTCAAGTTACAGGCAACTGAGCACAGCATTGTTACAGTGAGGGTGAAAAGCTGGACTCAGTTCTCAAGAGATGACAACTGCACTGTCTAAAGTACACAGATAAACCACAGAATGATATGGCATTTGATATGAGGTATTTCTTCCATTGGTGTTGTAGGGTGAAGAAGGCTTTCCTGGCTTTCCTGGACTGAAAGGGGACAAAGGAGAAAAAGTAAGTCCAAGTCTTTATTAATTATACTCTGAAAAGTTTAAGAGTTTATAAAACTGCTGTGGAAGTCTAATGAAAACCAACCCTACTCTTTCACCTCTGTATTATATTGTGTTTCATTTTGTGTAAGCAAGGTGCTCAGAAAAGGAGACTGTGATGTTGTAGTGTTTTTCATCAAAGTGCATCCTAAAGTTTTTTAATCTATTGATGGTGCTTAGCCACATTTGACAAATGTGTGGAGAGCTCAAAGGCATGAGCTTTGCCTAAACTTTGTAAAACTCCAAAATACATAAATGTAATAGAACAGAACTCAGTGCTACTACAGACAGAAACACTAGAGTCTCTTCAATATGAGACACGGAAAGCCAAAGATTACTATGCCTTTACTTGCACTGAACATAAATAACTTTTGGACTGTGGTGGCCTTTAGCTGCTTACTGCATCATCATTTAAAAAACAACAACAACAACAACAACAACAACAACAACAAAACAAAACAAAAAAAACCCCAAAAAAAAACCCAAAAACCAAAAATTAAATCCAGTACTGAGATAATTTTGTTGAGTAGTATTGACTTTTGACACATTTGTTGAAAATCCCTTACTCAAATCCTAGTTTGCAGGAGGAATTTTAGGAAATTAAACTTTTTCCACCTCTTATAAAACAGCAAATGTTCCAGATCACAGGCAAGATACCTCTCCAAGTAACATACAACAAACCAGCCCTGTACAGTCACAGCCTGCAGTGCCCATGTCTGTTTCCCACTTGAGCCTTTTTTTATAACACACCTAAGACAAAACTGCTACAATGACTGAAAGTGAAAACACTAAGCCTGTTCTTCACTGTGTGCTGACTTGTCTGTTGTTTGTTCCACTCTCCATCTGTTCTTTAAATTGCCAGCTGCAGGCAGAAAACTTGCTTTTTCTCCACATTTGCTGCTGTTCCTGTTAGCTAGGGAGCTACCAATCTCAGCATATTCAGTTCCATTCATCCTGGTGCACAGGAATATTTTAAATGGAAAAAAAAAATCTTAATTTAACTGGTGTTTGGCTTTCTGTTTCTTTGTTTTCTACACCTTTGCATATTCACAGCTCTGGGACTCACTTCCCAGTGGCCAGGGTCATTCCTGAGGACTGCTTCGGTACATAAAGGCTTCTTTTCCGTTTGCTTTTAGGCTTACTGCTTAAGTATATTATAGCTTTGCCTAGAGGCTTGAGCTTTGGGATGAATGTTGTATAATCAAGGAGGAAAAAAAAATTAAAAATGCAATTTTTGAGACAATGAAATGGTGAAGAGAGAAGCTAAGATAAGGTGATATTATAATATTAAGATGACTCAGTTGTTATGTGTCTAATTAGCTCCAGAGCTTTTATATTAATTTATTCTTAAATGAGTTAAGTGGACTAGAGTGCCTAGTTCCTCATTAGCAGCTCATCAATCATCCCTAGTGTGTTAATGTCAGCAGCAGCTCCTCCAGGAACTGTAAATAATAAATGTTTGTGTTGAAATGTTTGCTCTCATTTCTTATTCTTCTCTAGATGTGCTACTCGTGTCACTGCACTTGCAGGGGTGTTAATGCTGTGCTGATGGTAACTCTGTTGTTGTTTCAGGGTTCCCTGGGCTCACCTGGCCCCCCTGGGAGGGATGGAGCAAAAGGAGATACCGTAAGCCTTTTTGTTCCTCCCTTGTAATCCTGCTTTTCAGTGCGAGGCAGGCATTGGGCATCAATCTGCCTGGAGTGGAACACATCTGGGGGATTTGTGCGGTAGTTTTAGGAGCAGCAGAAACAAATGGCAGGAGGTTAATGGCCTCAAAACTCTCCCTCACATGTTTGCAGCCAAGGCAGGTGTCCTATGGATTAACCATGGCTGGAGGCTCCAGGGCAGCTCTGTTATCATTCCTTAAGGAGGGAGAGGGAGCAGCCTGTGGTTTGGGACCTGCTGGTAAATAGCTGCAGCTGCAGAGCCTGGCCATGTGTTTTGTGGCTGGTAAGGAGTTCTTGGCTAGTAGAGTCAGCAAAGGTGCAAAGGACCATGCTGCTTTCCACAGCAGCCATGGGCTGAAGAAATTGGAGTCTTGGTCACAGAAGAAAAGACCTCAAGTCCTTTTGTGCACTGATAAAAACTAAACTATGAGGAGGAGGGCACGGTTGGTTCAAGGAAGGATGCAGTGTACCAAATACTGCCTGTAAGAGAACTACAGTTGAAACACAAAACCACAAATGTGTTTTCCAGTATCTCACAGAAGTGTGTTTTAGAGCCTTACATCCTTTCCCTTGCTTGATCACCCTCTCTTAGAAATAGCTTCAAACTGATATTGAACCTTCACCATGTCATTCACTGTCCCTTTGTGGCAGTCACTTGGTGGCAATTGAAGGAGCTTGGGAAAGGATTCTCTGGAAGGCAGGTATACAAGAAGTTACACACAGCAAAAAAGTTACTTTCCTTACATCCTGTTTCTTCTTTGTTCCACAATTGTTCTACTTTGGAAAAACTGTGACAATTCTTCAATATTGCTTCCAGAACTGATGCAACTTCATCACATCACACATGACATGGGATTGGACAGTGCTGTACTTGCAGAACTCCTTATAAGATGTGTTTATACACTGCAAGGTGACAATTCAACAACAAAAGCATTATGCTGACTCCACGGAATCCATCTTTGCACACTGTAATTAGTGCAAGCTGTTCACAACTTTGAGAACTCATTTTTTGCTACTTGGTTGTATTTTGAGAGTAGATGAAGAGTTGCTTCAGTTTCCATTTTCTTTCTGCTTTCATTTTTGTGAGGAAAACACATTGTAAACTTTCAGATCTCTGTATAATGGCACTCAGGACTGTCAATATTTCTAACTGCATGTACTGACTAGTTTGAGCTATCCTAGCCTTTATATATAAAAGATTGTGTTTACCACTGATATTTCTGTTACTTGCAGGGTGAACCAGGACAGCCAGGAGCATATGGGCTGCCTGGGCCAGCAGGTCCAAAGGTAAGCTTTCCTTTCTTTGCAAGGGCAGGCATAACTTTTTCACTGATTTTTTATGTTTACATGGCTTGAATTACTCATTGTTGATGACATTTGATATTCTCACTGGTAAATCAAAAAACTCAAAATGCTTGTTGTCATCAGGGGTCTGCTACGGTACCAGCAATTATGCAAAGTGTGTAAGAAGAAGAAATAACTTTTGTTCAATCAACAGTATAGCTGGAGAAGGTGAAGAAAACTTATTTTGGGGCACATAAGCCTTGTGTCATATCTTCTGTAGCTTTTCCAACTCTCACTAAGATGCTGATGAGAATTATTACCCCAACTCTATGACTTGAAAAAGAGATCATGTAGAGATCCTATCCTGAATGTTTCTATTTTGGGAGCTTCAGTTTTGCACCAGTGAACAGTGCCTCAGTGATACAGAACTTGAGCCAGTGCTTATATCACTGGGCTTGCTTCAAACAAGGTGCTTCTGAAAGCAGATCTGATGGGACTTAGCTGAACATCAGAAATACAAATTTTGAAGCAGCCTTTAACCTCCTTTCAAAGTCTCAGCTCTCCTTGCCTTGTTCCCTGATTATTGAGAGAATAAATACCCCTCAGGTAGTTTCAGCCTTGTTGTTGTAACTCAAAAAGTAGATAGTGCATTGTGACAAGTGTGTTTTTAGGGATATCACACACAGCAAGTTCAGCTCATCCTGTGAAAGGTGCTGCAAGGACAACAATTTGACTGAATTAACTTCACTCAGTTCTGTTCCTGTACAAGCCAAGACCTTTGAATATCTCATCTTTCTGGAAGAGCCATTTCTAGTCACCTAAATCTCACACTGAGTTCAGTGATGCCATTATCCTCAGATAGGAGTTAAGTACCTCAGCACCTTTCTGGGTATAGCCTTGACTGTCCCTTGGCTCTGTCTGAGAGGACTTGATGAAGCAGGACTTGATGAAGCAGGTCATATACAGGTCCTCTGTCCTCCTCAGCTATGCAGAGCCCTGTCTCCCTGTATTTTTGCATAGAGAGAAATTCACCCTCTCCCAAAATCCCATTAGGAGAGTATCAGAACTCATGAGGAATTTGTAAATTAGCAGAAATACTTGGCAGCCATCCCAGGGTTCTCTGTGGAAACCACATTGGCTTCAGCAGGAGATAAATGACACATGTAAAGCCAGGCTGGGCTGAGCTGAGTGGAGGCACACTGAATGTTTTGCCCTTAGTAGGATTTGGATCTTGGATGAAAGGTACTGAACTTACCACTCACAAATGCTTTTTACCTCCATCTCTCCTATCAAGTAAACAAATACTTTTTTTTTCTTTGTCCTGCATGTCTCTTGTAGTGGAGTTACAAACCAGCAGGCTATATGATGCTCTTTGTGGTATGAATTTCCTCACACTTGCTTTGCAAAGCTTTTACAAACCAAGCTAAACTGAGACACCTACATTTTCCTCTAAGTGGACTTGATCCTCCTCCATATTTCCCACCAGGTTCTTCAGGAACATGCAGTTCAGCCAATTAATGAGGCAATGCAGAACAGAAGGAGTTCAGATCTATGGGCTGGGCAGGACAGGTCCTGGTGGGGCTGGACCTAAAGACATCTGACTGGGCAGTGCCAGGTGCTCCCAGGGAAGACATGAGTTTGGCCAACCCCAGCCTCCCACAGTGCCTAAATGTAAAATCATTGTGTGTTTTCACAGTGACTTTCATTTACCTCAATGGAGCATTGGCTGTGAGCAGTGTCCTTGAGCTGGATTCTGGCCTGAGCTATTTTAAGAAATAAGCCTGAGGTGCTGACATGGCTTTGAAGTCTAAAACAGGAATCCCCATTACTCCTCAGTGTAAAGCCTGAGCACCTCATCAGTGTGGAACAAGGTGTATAAGGATGGGTGGAACTGGCAATTAGAGAGGTCACATCTCCAGTTATTGGTGTAATGATTATTTAGAGGTTTTTTGCCAAATCACTTATTTTTGGCATCAATCTAGCAGCTCTGGGCTCTACCCCAGGCTCCATGGAGAGCAACGCTGCAGTTTGTCTGGTTGGTTGGGTTGTGATCCTTCCTGTCTCAATCCATCTTCATTAGCATTGAGCCAGGCAAGCCCAGTCTGTGCTCAGCAATGATACCTGTGTCCCAAGAAATTCAGCCCCTTGTTTATCTCCTTGGCTGAGAAGCCTTTTGCTTCAGTGGGAATTGCCAGCACTTTCTTTTAAGAAATTGTCTTGTACTTTTTACAGACCTCATTAATTGTGTGAAGCTTCCAGTAGCAAAGACAAGAGTCCTCCAGACTTCTGGAAATGGAATTTCAGTCCAAAGAGTTACCGAAATGGTCATTGAGCCCATTAGGGTTCATGTACAGGTTACAGGAATGAAATGGCCTTGGTATGTCATCCCTGGTTTTACTTTTCAGTGGTGTCTCTGGGGGAGATTGTTCCTAGCTCAGTGTCTTCAGCATAAAATGATAGGGTTTGGAGTGAGTTTTTTCTTTTTCATCAAACTTGGAGGGTAAACTTCTTTGTTCCCCAAGAAGGATGTGTGGTCTTGCTGGCTACAAGTTGGGCACAAAGATGAGTTATCAAAGCCAGCCTTATGCTGAGGTGTTGGAGCTTCTGGTTACAGATGTCATGGTAATCTGAGATGGCAAGAAATATTTGCTGGTCAGTGGGGAAAACTCCCACATAAATATGTGGGACCTCAAAGGTTAATTTAAATTGAGTAAGTGAGTCCAGAGCAAAAGGGCCATATCTCACATTGTTCATTGTACGATGTTATAGCAGAGAAATAAAGTTTGGATTTTTGAGATCATACCCTTTAGCCTGCAATATCCTGCTGCAAATATTCAACCTTTCCATTCATTTTCCCCCCATGTAGCTCTAATAAAAGGATAAAGAGGTTTTTTTGTGGTTGTCATTGCTGTGGCACAGATATAGCTATAGCATTCCCATCTGAACTGACAGTTATCTGCACTTAATAGAAAAAGCAGAGGGAGAGGGGAAAAAAATCAATCCTTTGAAATAAAAAGTATTAGGTAAGAGTTTCATTTTGACAAATTTCCTTCTTGCCTGCTCGAGCTGTCGAAGGTCTCACGCTTCTCTGGTTTACCAGACATGATCTCAGCACAGGCCTTGAGTGGGTTCAGCACATCTCATCCAGACAAACCCAATTTCTCTATAACTTCTGCTGAGTGTTACAACCACGTTTTATGTAACAGGACTGAGTTAGACTTCTGCAATTTGGATGACTTGGAGCAGGACTCTGTTTCTCTTGGGGTTTTGCCTAGACTTTGGTAGCAGTATTTTTCTGCAGGCTGAAGGAGAGATTTAGGTGAATGCTTGCTATTAGAGGACTTGCAATGCTTTGTGACCTTGCAGAGGTTCTCACATGTCTGATCCCAGAGTCATCTTTGCTTGTGCTTGAACCCTACTCTCGTTAACCTGCACTGGGGAAAAAAACCAGCCTCAGTTCTGCTTCTAATTAATTGCAAACACATCTTGCATTTTTAATTTTATTATCTTTTTAATATGAAACTTCTATTAATACAAAATCTAGAAATTATTTTGAAATTATATAGTAATAGTATCTCTATCTATTTTGAAGCCTTATCCATTACAGCCACCCAATTAGTGTTAAATAGGAGTTAAACGAAGGAGAGTGGTGGGATGGGGAAGTGACGTAAGTAAGGAAATACTCAGTCCAACAGCTGATATAAGATGCCAAACCAGTTGTCTAGGCCAACTTGCCAGGCCCAGGCTGGCAAAATGGGACAGTTCTGAGAGCTGAGCCTGTTCAGCTGTGTCTCCAGATAATTTTCAGGCATTGTGAGACACAAAAAGGCACACTGTGAGTAGTCTCCATTACGGTGTACATTCTCCAGGGTGAGTCAGTGCACAACCAGCTGGAAGACTGACGAAATGTACCTGATCCTCTTGCATTTTTTCTTATCAGTAAACATAAACATTGGAAAATTTAGTTTTGATCTGTTTTTTTGCATTTACTCCTCAAAACATATAACATTTTGAAGACTGTGGTCACTTTGCAGCAATGTATACCTTTGCTTTGTTCCATTAACACTGCGTTCAGGAGCCCCAACAGCTGTTGGGGGCAACAACTGACATTGCCAAACCTTCTGAAATAAGCTGTAGAGAAACCTGTATGGGACAGTTAGCCTTTGTAGGTTAAGTCTGAAAGCAGAAGGATAAAACTTGTCTGAGGGGACAGAGGAAAATATTGGAGCGTCAGTTTGGGTAAGTAGCTGGAAAGTAAGACATGACTCCTGTATTACCACTGAGAAAGTCAAGAAGCCTCATTTTGAGCCTGGAAGAGTAACTTGCATTTCTGACTAACTAATTTTATTCTTGGGTCTTTTATGTGAAAGAAATTCTGGTGGTTTACTGTTATCTCAATTCCTTGCCAGGGATCCGAGGGAAAACAGGGTCCGCCGGGCATCAAAGGCTACGTAGGTGCACCGGTAAGTCCCAACTCTTGCTCGACTTCTACTGCTCTAAAACTTTCTTTACTTTTTCAGTGTGTTCTGCCCAGATTATATATATATATATATATATATATGTATTATTAAGCAGTCTATAATCTGTCTGACCACTTACCTGCATTATGTCCAAGTGGTGAAATTGTCTTGGCTTCACTGAGTTTCTTGTGTCTTCCTCAATGAGGAACAGACCTGTAGCCAGTAGAGAGGTGTCAGCAGAAATGACTTGATTACTGAGATAACAGCTGGTGATTTTGTGATGGTCCTACTGTAATGCAATTGCTTTGGTCTGTGATGATGCACCATTTATATGGTGCTTTAAAATTTCATCAGAACACCAAAAAAAAATACCACCTCTCAGCAAGTTTCCAGTCATGTTTTCAAAGCTCTCAGGGAATAGCCTTTGGGCTCAGGGGACAAATCTGCATTGAATGAACAAACAGCAAGACCAAAATAAATTAGATTCTATCCACTTAGCATCTCTGTCTTGTGGTCCCAGCTTGGTAAGCAGCCTTTAAGCTGCTGTTGGAAAGGCTGACTGGATTTTCTGAGATTTGCTGACCCAGATGGGCGACATCTCCCACAGGCTGGGGGATGAAAGGATTGTGAGCTGCCCTGCCAAGAAATACTTGGGGTGCTGGGGGATGAAAAGCTGGACATGAGCTGACAGTGTGCACTCAGAGCCCAAAAGCACCATGGCAGCAGGTGAGGGAAATGATTCTGCTCCTCTCGGTGAGACCCCACCTGCAGTGCTGCATCCATCACTGGGGTCCCAACACAGGAAAGATTCATGGACCTCTGAGAGCAGGTCCAGAACAGGGCCATGGAACTGGTAGGAAGGCTGCAGCACCTCTGTGAGATAAGGCTGAGAGTTGAGGTTGCTCAACTCATTGCAGTCTGGAGAAGGCTCTGAGGATACCTAAAGTGGCCTTTCAATATTTAGAAGATGCCAAACTTTTTAATAAGACCTGTCTTGATAGGACAAGGGATTATGGTTTTAAAGTAAAAGGAGTGAGATTTAGATTGGACATAAGGCAGGAAGTTTTTACTTATGAGGATGGTGAGGCTCTGGAACAGGTTGTCTGGCGAGATGGTGGATGCCCCATTCTTGGAAACATCCAAGGCCAGCTTGGACTGGACTCTTGAGAAACCTGCTCTAGTATAAAATAGCTCTGCCCATTTAGATGATTATGTAAATCAACATGAGGGCCAAATATACACAGACATGGAGCTCTCACTAGCTTGGAGGTAAGACTCCATTACAGTGTAAAGTAAACTGAAGCTTAAATTATTACAGCAAGAAGCACTGTAAGTTTTGGCAGGTCTAGAGAGGTCACTACTGTCTGAGCATATTTGTCTCTCTATAGTTATTAGTTGATTGCTCAGTTTCTACAATAAAGATAAAATACAAGGTATTTGCTGAGCTAAGGAAAGGTGAAATCCTTTTGTGCCCATTGAGTCGATTGTCTGTGCTAGTGTCACATCAAACCGAGCTCCAGAAATGTTTCTGGTGTAGCTGGGAGGAGATGAATTATGCAGTCCTGAGGAACACTGGCATTGCATTCACAGCACAAAAATGTGCTGGGCCCCCAGGACAGAGTCCATCTAGCCTCTGCCAGTTCTCAAAGCTACCTGCTGTCTGTCTGGCTACCACATCCAAACCCACCAGGAACAGGAATTCTTGAGTGTTTATGTGATAGGTTTTCTCATCAGTATTGTCCTTTACCAAAGTTCTCATTGTTTACAAGAAACTTGAAAAATGCAGAGCATTGGTTGTTTTCCAGACCATCTGCATCTGTGGTGTGTTCCGTGTCCCTCCACTCTGCTGTTGGCAGGAGGGTTGTGTGTCTGCAGGCAATATTATATTACAGATGTTCTTGGGCTCACAAGCAGTCCCTGCTCTGTGAGACTGCTTAGATCACGCCTGCAGCCAAATTTGAGGACTGGCAACACAGAAAATGTCCTTGAGGTTCACTTGAATTGATTGTGCAGATGTGCACACTGATTTGGTGACTAATTAGAGGAGGTAACTGTGCCTCTACTTGGATTTAGCTTTATAATCTTTGTTTATTTTTATTTTTAGGGTCTACAAGGAGAAAGAGGAGAAAAGGGAACACGAGGAGACAAGGTATTCCTGCTGCATGATAGGAAAAGCCAGGCTTTTCATTTATCCATTAGTTGAAGTGGACTACCAGGCCAGCAGCTCTGGAGAGGGATGGAGTGTCCTCACTGCACTGCACTTCAAAGTGCTCCCCACCTCCCATGGGTGTGCGGAGGGTTTTTGGGATCTGTGCTGTCTACTAAGCACAGGTTTAGGGATTTCTTGTGTGTGTGTAGCTAGGGATGGAGGAGAGTGAGGAGGAGTGGAGGTTGCCAGTGTGGAGATCTGAAGGGGACTTCACATTGTGTGTGCAACCCAAGAGTTGAGAATGGTCACTGACTGCCACTGACCATGTCTGCATCTAGCATTTTCCCATCTCATTCCAGTTTTTCACATCATCCAACTTCCTATGTTTCTTTCTTCTCCCATCCCCATAAACTCACTAGCAGTAAGGACCAGATAATTTGTACTATGTCAAAGGCTTCAACCAAATGGAATTGCTTCCCAGTTCCATGTTCTTTCCTGTGAAGAGCTGTTTCATAGAGTACAGGTCACTCTGGGATTTGAACCATTTTCGTGGCTCAAGGAAAAGACCAAATGCTTATTGTACCTGGAATGGGCATTTAAAAGGAGAGCTGAGCAGGCACAAAGCCTCAGTTACTTCAGTTTGCTTATTGTGTTCAGAGAGACCTCAGATGTGCACCCTTTTCTGCTGCAGACCTGCTTGATAGTGCCCAGGAGCCCCCAGAAATGTTCTGTCCTGCTTATGACTCAAGCCAGTCCTGACACAGGTTTATCTCAGGGAGGGCCTGGCAGCTTTGCCTGTGTTTGTGTAAAGGAGAGTCATCATCTTGCTGGCATAGCTCTGTTCCCATTTCTCAGTCTCCATCTTCTTCTGGAAGGGAAACCCAGCAATTAACACCAAACGTTTGCCTACTGGGAAAAAATTATCAGTAGACCCTTAGTATGAGATATTGTGTTTCTCTTGACAAACATCCTTTTTGCTGTTTATGATAAAGGAACCATGATCATATTTTGTATTACCTATCCTCGTTATTGCAGCTAGAGCAAATGGCTGGATTGCACTTTATCTTCGTCATGCTTCTCTTTCAGCCCTTTGCAGAACTGGATAGGTGTCCTGTGTCCGTTATTGCAGCTAGAGCAAATGGATGGATTGCACTTTATCTTCGTCATGCTTCTCCTTCAGAACTGGATAGGTGTCCTGTGTCTAGCCAGTGCCTCTGCTGCTTTTCCAGAGGCAACATTGTCTAATCTGCTGGGATATTTGGCTCCTGGAAGAAAATCCATCTTTCTGACATCACTGTAATGGGGGAGAGGAAGCTGGAGCTGTGTGTGGGCAGACAACTGACTAAGTAGAGGAAGATTAAAGTGGGGAAGAAATGAATTAGGTTTTGTTTCATTAGAAGGATCTGCACAATTAGAGGTGCCCCCCATCCTTTTTTTGGGTTTTTTGTTTTTTTGTTGGTTTTTTTTTTTTCCCCCTTTGGTTTTTTCTTTCCCTGAAGCAGCCAAATCTCTGCTACAACAATTGTGCTTCAATTTTTTCCCACGTTTTAATGATGGTCTCAGTGCATCCACTGCCAGTTCTTTAACTTTTACCAGTCAGTACTACTGTGAAAACAGTGGGTGTAAATTCAGTGGGCCAAATATTTTCTTGTCTGCGCTTCAGTCTGTAACCTCAATACTGACACCTACGCAACCTGTGTTTCTTTGTGCCTGAAGAGAAAAGGAGTTATAATATCAGAGGGAGCACTAGTTCATGCACTGAGTATTGTTTTATCAAGTCTTCCCCCTTACTACCAAAAGAGCCCTAACTATCCCATCCATCTTGCTGCATTATTCACATATCCTGGGACCTTGGACGTAAATGTTGAGGGTTTATATTGAGGTTCCCAAATCCAGCAGTTACACCAGGTTACCAGGTTACACGTGCACTTTAGGAAAAGCACTGCAACATGTGAGGGATATCTCGTGCCTTTTTGCATCCAATGATTGTAGACCCCAGGACAGACTCAGAGATAATTCTGATGCACTGCCCTGCTAACACGAGCCATATCTGTATGTGATATTTGGCATTCTAATTTAGGCACATCCAGCAGTTCAGTGTGACTAAGGGCACTGCTTTTGCTGCAAAGTCCTGTGTCCATCCTGTAAAATCTTGTCTGTTTTGTTGAGAAGGGATTGTGTAAGAAGGTAGCAGAACTGGTCTGCTGCTGCCAGACCCTTCTGCAGTGGGTTTTTTTCTCCTCCAGCCTTTCCAGGGCCCTACAGACAGCTGGGTAATCATTTTTCCAAAAATCATTAAATTTTATAAATGGTAGAGGTCAGAGAGCAGCACCAAAGTTTTGGCAGAATTGTCATTTCCCCTAGTTGCTTGTCAATCTTCACTATTTTGTTCTACTGGTTAAAAGAAGAAAAAACAGTAGAACACAGTAGAAAGAAATGGAATCTTGAAGTGAAAATTTGAGAATGAAATTTTAATGTGTTTGTTCTCTCTGTTGGAAGGAAAGTACCTTTCACTGAGTATCCTTATTTAAAGAATGGAAAAATAATAAAAATATTTATAATGACAGATTTTTCTAAAGAAACAGCAGAAAACACAATTGTTTGGAGTGTTTTCAAATAGCTTTTTTTGTATTTGCTTGTATAAATAATACATTTGCCTTTTCCAGCCCCCATTGGTAGCAGTAAAAACATAGACAATTTTCTGTTTTGGCATCTAAACCAGCATGTGTGAAGTACTCATTGCTGCAGTGTATTGATGTTAAAAATTCTCCTGGGAACACACTGCACATTTTGTCAGCAATATACCAAGCTGTTGCTTGCTGAAAGTCTTAAATTCAGGATATTTGTAGTTCAGGCAGTGCAAAGGAAAGCATTAATGTGGAAACTATACCTCCAAAGCAAGTGAATCTGGGTGTCTGACACTGGTATTCAGCTGCCTTCTGGAGGATATGGGTCTCTCTAATGTCATTCCTTGAATACATAATTTGAAATAACATTTATGTTGGAAGATTGATTGACTTTCTAAGGAGGAAAAATAAATAATGATTAGAAAATCCATTTCTGACTTGGCAAATCAATGTAGTTTACAAAAGAAGCTAATTAAATCCAGTCCTGTAAGTGTAGGTTTGCAGGTAATAACAGTGAGCTAACAGAGTTTAAAATATAGAAAAACACTTAAAAACTGCATAAAACCATTAGTTTTCTATCACTGCTTGTAGTTGTAGAATTTGTTTTTACATGCACATTCATGTTAACATTGGCACTGTGTGTGTGTTTGATAGTTTACATTCAGCTATGTGTGAAGGATCTAGACAAAATCTGTGTTTCATTTTTCAGAGGTTTAAGGACTTTAAAAAGTACAAGTCCCTGTTTCTAGGAGTTTTTAAACTGAAGAAATTGAATGGTCAAAGGCCACAATCAGGAGAAAAGTGAAGTCCAGCAGAAGTATGTAATTGATCCAGTTATCTCTATCAAGAACCTCAACTATAAAATGCATGTTGAACTTGCATATGGAAGAACAGTAGAGATCAGGGTCAGAAGTCAAAATTATCCTGTGAACACAATCCCCCAAAGCAGAAGATGACATTGAGAAGGTCAGCTGCAGGATGTTTCATACACATAGGACAACAAATTGCAGTTATGGATTGGGAACAACTGATCAAGGAGCTGTATTGTGGAAGGGTGTTTGGTGTAAAGTAAACATTATCCTGGGATTTAAACAGAAAAACAGTCTATAAAACATGAAAATATATTCCTGCTCAGAATTAGCCTCAGGTGTATTGAGATTCATGCACCTAGCTACAATGAAGATGTGCAAAAATTGGACATTGCACAAAAGGGAGTAATAAAAATGATCAGAGAACTAACAAACATGCCCATGAAGAAAAGTTGAAAGTATTATGGTTGTTTAGTCTAGAGAAATTTGGAAGGAGAGTTTTGTAAATCTTCAAATACATAACACTTTCCTCTGTGGGGGGTTAGGGAAAGACTTACTAGTCTGGAACTGCAGCAATAAAAACAAAAAACAAAACAAAACAAAACAAACAAAAACAAAAAACAAACAAACAAACAAACAAACAAAAAAAAACCAAAATAAAAACATGTTTAGGTACAGGGGGAAAAACCCCTATCTTTAAGCAATAAAAATAAAGTGGTGAAATCCATTGCATACGGACTTTGTGGACTGTCCAGCTCTGGAGACATACAGGAATAAATTAATTATCCCCCCAGGTTACAGAAAGGAAAGGTGAAAAATGAGAGATTTTTCTTTACTGGGTAAAACCAACCTGTTGCTGGATTGCTTTACTATTTTTGTAAGAGCTGTTCTGGGCTGACATTCTGCAGGAGCACATTGTCCAGTTTACACAAACCCACTTCAGCAGGCAGAGGAAGGATGCCAACCTGGAAAACTAGCACACACCTGCTTCTGGTTGCAGCAACTTTCCATGGTACACGTGTAGGAACTTCAGCTATTTTCCTATGGGACTGGCTGGAATTTCTCTCTTTATTCATTACTCTTGGAGCAGCTGATTGGACATCACCTTCATGGCAGTGACCTAAACATCACATATTTAAATTATAGTGGTTCTTTCTCTCCTTTTTCCAGGGAGACAGAGGCCTGGATGGATTCCCTGGAAAGCCAGGTGTGGAGGGGAAACAGGTATGTGGCAAATACTCAAAAACTGGAAGTGTTTCTTGGGAAAGAGTGGAAGCTGACCCTAAAACTGAGACTTATCCTGGGTGGTTGCTGAATCATGACAGCACCCAAACATGTCTCTGTTCTAAGGATCTTTGGTACAGTTTTCTTTTTTTGTTTGTTTGCTTTTAGAACTAAACTAGAATGCAAGTTACACTCACAGGAAATGTCAGTCCTTTAAACGTGATAGTCTAAATGTTTGTTTAAGCCCACAACAGGAAAAGAAGAGAACTGGATTTAATATATTGGGTTTGTTTAAAAAAAAAAAAAAAAAAAAAAAAAGGCTTGGAACTATTTACATTTTTTAAACAAAAAGAAAACAGAAAATGGCCTAGAAGATCAGTACAGTTTTGCTGATCAGACACACACTGCTTTGTCTAAAACCGCTATCTGTAGATTCCACATGACTGTTTTCATTACCCAGGGAATGATACCTAATGAAAAGCATTCTTTTCTTCCAAGGACCTTCTGGTCTAAATAGCAAAGGACAGAATAAGAAGCAGAGGACAGAAGTGATATGCCAAAAGCCACACAGCTAATCACTGCCACCCTTGAGCCTGATACCTCCAGGGTGCAGCACCTGCTGTGTTCCTCAGCCACAGTTTACCTTGTACCAAGAAGTCTGTGTCTAGTTAGTGTTTATCACTATCCCGGGAAGAAGGAAATGTTTTCCAGTGTTACAGATGGATAAAGAACTGGTTTATACTTGCAGCAAATGTAGCTGAAGTAGCACATTGCAGAGGGATGTCAAAATGGATTCTTTTTGTTTAGTACTTCAAAGGAACAATATCTCCAAGTGAAACCCTGTTACAGAAATTGGGTTTTCTGAAGCATTTCTTCTTTTTCCATGTCTAGACTTAGAAGGGGGTAAATCTTCATGCCTGAATTTTATACTAAATTTTTTACACTAAATTTTGTGTTTGACGCTGATATACTTACTGAACTGCAATTTTTCTGAATCAGTTGAAATCAGATTGGTGTTATTATGGTTGCTGTGGAATCTCCATTGTCATTCTCTTTCCCCTCTGTGCAGCAGAGTCAAAGCAGCCTCATGTGTTCTATTAGTTCCTACCCAATGTAACAGGACATCCCGTTTGTGCTGCCAATACCTGCAGCCTTATATTTCTCCTGCACTTCAGAAACAAAGAATTTTCTCTCAATTTTACCTCTTTATAGGGTCCTCCTGGCAGCCCTGGCCCTCCTGGTGCTAGTGGGACCAAAGGAGACAAGGTAAGTTGGGATGGGATGGACAGAGTGGATTTAGAAACACATTTGTTAATTCTTCCCAGGGCCCCCAGTGCTGGAAATATCAGGGCTGTTGGACTAATATTTATCTCGTCTGTATATAAAAAAGTTTACATGTATTTAAACATTTCATTTTCTGACATGGCTTCAGTTTGAAATGGGTGTGAGTGAGTGTTAAAATGTATCTGTTTATGACTCCTATGCTCTTAGTTGAATTCTGACAGTGAGAATAGAAGGAAACAGAGTATACTTTGGGTCAGGCAATCTTCCTCATGTAAGAAATGTGGGTAGAAGTGTCAATATGTTTGTGTAGAAGCTGTTTTTCTCACCCAGGAGATGTAGAATTGACTCAGAAAGTGTCAACAAAATGCCTCTGAGCCTCCTACCTGCAAAATAATTATTCACTTCTCTCAGCAGCAATTTTGACCTTGTTATTTTTCAGAGTTGTTCAAGTATTCAGGGCAGCCTTATGTTTCCCTCTCTGTTAGAGATGATGCTGTGGTTTTGGTATTTCCGACTCTTCGGGAGGAGTGGAAAGGCATGGCCAGTTCTGGATTTCTTTTTCTTTTTCTCCTCTGGATGAAGTCAGTCACCTTTTTCCAAGAATGCAGAGACTGGAAGCAATTCCCACTATTCTCTTCCTGCAGTAGTGATCAGTCTTGAGTTCATAACACTTCATTCATATTTCTGAACCAGCTGTAACTGGTGCTTCCAGAAGATGTTTGTCTCCTTGGTCTGGTATTTTCAGAGTGGCTGGTGTGTATCTCTTCACTACTTCTCACATAACATGAACTCTTTTTGGAATAGGCCTGTTTGGATGGGGCCCTGGCCAACCTAATCTGGTGGGTGACATGTCTGCTTGAGGTACAGGGTTGGAACCAGATATTTTGGATTGATGGACCAAGGTCAATGGTATCAGGTTCAAAAAGGCAAAGTTCTGGGCTGTAAAAATTTTGGCCACAACAAAGCCCTGCAGTGCCGCAGGCTGTGGCAGAGTGGCTGGAAAGACCCTGGGGATGCTGGGTGACAGTGGTCAAACGTGAACTGGCAAGTGCCCAGGTGGGCAAGAAGCCTGGTGGTCTCCTGGACTTCTGTGTCAGCACCAGTGTGGCCAGCAGGACCAGGGCAGTGACTGTCCTTCTATGCTGGGCACTGGGGAGGTCACATCTCGAGTGCTGTGTGCAGATATGTAGCCCTATTGAGACTGGGATTAATGACAGATGCCTCTGCCCAAATTAAGATGCCAACGAGACCATTTACAAAGCTAACAATGGGGATTTTATTTAACAATAAATGGGAGGAAGACAGATAGAAAGGAATAGAGGACCAGAGGATGTGAAGAGAAGAGGGGGAAGAGGGGGTTGGGAGAGAGATGAAGCAGAAGACAATCCAAGACCTTTGGTTCCAGCACCGTCACATTGGTCCTTTCTCACTATGCGCTTGTCTGCACTGGGGATCTCCGTGGTTCTTGTGAAGGTGAGGGCCCCAGGTCGTTCTTTCAGGGTTCACACCTTTCTCCAGTCCTTGCTGCTAGTATGCAAGGAGGCGTTTTCCTATTTGCCCCCAGGAAAGGAGGATGGGAGTGCTTTCCTTTGCCTGCAATGCTGAGGCCCAAGGAGCATTTCTCAGCTCCAAATGCAGCCTTGGGGGCAGGGCGGGCATGCCACCCCCAATGCAGACCGGGCCTTAAGTCAACTTCTATCGGGTTGTACAAGGCAGCTCTGCCATTCCTTCCTCAGCCGGCTCTCCCTGACCAGGCTGCCTTACTGTTTTCTTATGGATGTCAGGCTGGGGGCCGGCAGCAGGACCTACCTGGGACAACTGGTTGCCTAAGGGTGAGCAGTCATCTTCAGGAACCTGCCTGCTGCTGGCCCCGGGCTCACTACTCTGGCTGCCCCCTGAGGCAGCTGAAGGAGAAGAGGCGGCGCAGAGCCCGCCGGGCCGTCTTGGCCATGGAGCGCCATCTCCATGGGGCCGGGGACTGCGGGACGGCTGCGCTGCCAGCGAGGCCAGCAGGAACGCTGCGTGCCAGGGGCTGGGCAGGCACCGGGCAAGCTCCTGCTGGCGCCCCAGCCCGACAGCGCTTTTCTTGGGGAGGGGCGGCCTGGGCACGACCAGCCTCCGTGGGTTGTACAAGGCAGCTCTGCCATTCCTTCCTCAGCCGGCTCTCCCTGACCAGGCTGCCTTACTGTTTTCTTATGGATGTCAGGCTGGGGGCCGGCAGCAGGACCTACCTGGGACAACTGGTTGCCTAAGGGTGAGCAGTCATCTTCAGGAACCTGCCTGCTGCTGGCCCCGGGCTCACTACTCTGGCTGCCCCCTGAGGCAGCTGAAGGAGAAGAGGCGGCGCAGAGCCCGCCGGGCCGTCTTGGCCATGGAGCGCCATCTCCATGGGGCCGGGGACTGCGGGACGGCTGCGCTGCCAGCGAGGCCAGCAGGAACGCTGCGTGCCAGGGGCTGGGCAGGCACCGGGCAAGCTCCTGCTGGCGCCCCAGCCCGACAGCGCTTTTCTTGGGGAGGGGCGGCCTGGGCACGACCAGCCTCCGTGCCTGCAGCGTCAGCCTCGTCCGCGGCAGGCAAAGCAGAAACTGAAAACGTATCTATGTCTTCCGGCAGTGCCCCGGGGAAAGGCTCACTGTGCCCCTCTTCACAGGGGTCACTGTCCAGGGGAGAAGCTGCTGGCTCTGCTCCCTCCTCTTGCAGTGGGAGGCACAACTCGCTCTCTGCCTCACTGTCCCCCTCTCCTGCAGTGTCTCTGTCAGGGAGCTCTTCTTCCTCCCACTTTGCCTGTAGCTGGTCTAGCTGAGTGTCCCTGGACAGCACATCCTGGTAGTTAAAGAGAGACCCCAGGTTCAGAGGCATGAGCTGTATGCAGTTTTCAGTCTCCCGTGTACAGACTTTGGTCCAGCTGTAAAGGCTGTGCTGCACCAAGGGGCTTTCTTGGCCCAGGGAGGAGAGGATGTCCTTCCTCCAACTTCTCCAGTTCCACTGCCTCAATATTCAGAGAATGCTTTGAAGCATCCTCAGACCCTGTGCACAGCAGCTTGCCACATGCAGTTTGCTCAGGCAGCTGATGAGTTTCCCTGTCCTCTCAGGGGTTTCCAGATGAGGGAGAACCTGAGAAGTCTGAGCACTCCTCAAGCTCTGGTGTGAGCAAAAGCTCATTTTGCCCCTTGTCCCAGAGTTCTCTGTCCAGAGCAGAAGCTCCTGCCTCTCCCTTCTTCTCTTTCAAGAAGACAAGGAATGTGCTCTGAGGAATGCTGTCCCTATCTCTTTCACTTTCTGTTTCTGGGAGTTCTTCCTCCTCTCACTTGTTGTCTGGCTCTTTTGGAAAACTATCCTAGGGCTGCAAGTTGCCAGAGAGAGACTGCTGCTCTTCCAACTGGACAGACGACAGGAGCTCAGAGGAGTTTCCTGTCTCTTCTGTAGCATCTTTGGTCAAGCCAAGAGCGCTGGGCATCACCTGGGCCTCTGCACTGGCCTCTTGACAGACACTTGACTGCTCCTGGGTCCAGGTGGACGTGATGTACCTGTCTTCACACAGGCACGGGGCAAAGCCTCTAAATGACTCTCCGCAGGTTTTGCCACCGTGCTCTTCCTGCACCTCAGTGAGCTCCTCCATCGTGGTGAGCTCCAGGTAGTTCCAGGCAGGCTGGGTTCCTCTGCGGAGCTGCACACCGCCTGCATGTCGAAGGGGTGGCAGGTGCTTGCCCTGCCTTGCTGCTGACCCTCGCCAGAACATTTCAGCTGAGATGTCTGGGGAAGGAGCTTCCTGGGCGTTGTCAGCAGCCACAGTGCCCCATGGACATGGTGGCACAACCTGTCGGTGGCTGCTGGCTACAGGACCTGTGAACTGTGCTCTGCCTCTGGGAGAAGAGCCAAAAGCTACTGCTGCTGGGGCTGCTGACAGAGGGAGCAGGTTGACCCTTGTCAAGCCTGGTCTTGGCATTTGCTCTTGGAACAGAGATGCCCCAGTCAACAGAGGGCCATGGAGAAGCAGCAAGTCTGACAGAGACAATATTTGTGGCGTGTGACTGTGTCACTGAGGGGCAGTGAGTGCCCTCCCTCCAGGCTGTGTGTAAGGTCCTGGGAGGCTCCCTGAGGTGACCGGTCTGGGGAGCACTTTGTCCCTGTGGAGGAGTGTGATGGTTATCCAGGTGACCTGCAAAACTGCTTGTGGCTGCCTGTACGTCACCTGTGGGAAGCAGGAGGAGGCGTCTGGTGGAGACAGCTGTTGCAGCATGGGGGCTGTATGCCCCCAACCCAGCGACAATGGGGGCATGACAGATCCCCATGGCAGACCCCGTAGAAATTCCAGCTGCCAGCGGCGATTTGGCGGAGATAAACAGGCAGCAGCACAGGTTCTGAAGTGGGAACTGGGGTGACTTTATTCAATGGGAAACTCCCAAAACCCCAAACTGGATGCAGGCACTAGCTTATAAACAGGGGCAGTCTTGGGGGCGGATACACTTTTTAACCAATCGGGAGAACTGGGGGTGGAACACAAGGCGGGGAAATACAATCTGTAAACCAATAGAGGGTCTTAAGGGAGGGGAAAGGCTTGAGTAAACCAATGGGGTTTCAAAGGATACAAAACTGACAGGGAAAGTTCTGGAGGAAAGGGCAGGCTTGGGGAAGGATTGACATCTGAGGAGGGGAGGAGCAGAGGAGGTTTTTTTGGGGGGAAAGGGTAGGGACAGGAGGAATTGACAAACTGAAAGGTTTGTCAGGCATTGCAAGGTTCTGCCCAGGGAGGTGGTGGAGTCAGCATCTCTGGAGGTGTTCAGTGAACAACTGGATGTGGCAAGTCCAGTGCTCTGGACTTGCTGCCATGGTGGTGTTGAGTCAAAGGTTAGGCTCAATGGCTTTGCAAGTCTTTTCAACCTTAATATTTCAGTGATTCTATCTTTAAGATCCCTTCCAACCCAAACCATTCTGTGATGCTCTGCATAAATAACAAAGAGTAATTGAACTTAAGAGAAAAAAATATGAAAGATATGCTGGGTCATTCAGAGACCTACATGAGTAATGAATCAATAGAGTGTGGAAGGAAGCTATGTGATAAATGTAACAGCAGTCTGTGCCTAAAGTAAAGGATAAACCTTCTGTATACACAGTCTTAAAGCATAATAAATGGTAGGCATTGCTGCAGAAAAATGAACTGGAACAAATTGATAGCCTAGATGGCAATAAATCATGAAAAGAGGGTGTAGCAAGCCAGTGTCCTGCAACCACTATGGTGTGAATTGCTCTATAAAATGACTTGGGGAAAATGGTGCCATTTCTCACTTTTGTGTGTTTGTGTGGTAAGTGTACAAAGCAAATACAAGATTTTTTGAAGTACAGATCTAATGCTATTGCACATCCAAAGCATCATTCATTTTAAGTCACTGAATGTCATTAAAATGTATGTAAAACATCACAGTAACACAGACCACAAGCAGTTTCTGCATGTATTCATCTGCAGAGCAGAGAAAACAGTTAATTGAGGGTGTGTGTCTAGATCTATTAATTATGAGATGGTTATTGAAAATAAGAATGTACAACAGTTACAAAATATGCTCAGGATGTTGTTTTTACTTTGCACTGTTGTGTATTGTGCCATGTTGTGTTCTATGTATGTTTTTTCATTTTTTTCTTGTTTCCCTGCAGGGTGAGCCAGGACTTCCAGGACTGCCTGGCACTTCAGTAAGAATTTTTTTTTAGCTTTCCCAGAATTTTTAACATTATTGCATGAGAAGTAGAAATGCAGGTTGGGAGGACCTCACTGAGAGATGTTCTTAAATACTCTTTTTGAGTTATTATTTTTAAGAAGTTTTTGAAAGTAAGACTTTTGAAGAAGTCATGTGATAATGAGGAGATGCTCTGCTACAATTTTGGGAGACTGTGAATGAAAGCATTGCCTCAAGTGCATCAGACAGAGCAGTACTGTGGCAGGACTGTGTGGTTTCTGACAGTTGTTGAGTTGATTCCAAGTGGCCTTTGGTACATAGAGCCTGGCCAAGTTATAAAAGCAAATGGAATTTCAGTATTGGGTAGCTGAGTGTCTTTGGAGTGTAAGAGTTGGGGCAGGAGAAGAAAAAGGCAGTTTCTGATGAGAGAGAAGGATGATCTTTCCTTAGCTCAGTGGTGGAATATTAAGACAACTAGAACTTGATGTGCTGAAATCAGGAAAGCACTAATGAAAAAATTAAACTGAAAAAAGAAGAGTGGGGCTTATCTTTATTGTGGCACTACATTAACATCCTTTGTGCATCCCTCTGCCTTCATCAGGGCCTTTGCTGATGCCAGAGACATCTCTGGCAAGGATGTAAGGATGTCCAGAGACTAGTACTGTCTGTATGAAGAGGTTAGCTCTGGGTGAATGGAGAAAGATTTACCACTAAGTATGCAGAGGAGAGGTCTAGAATTGAGTTCAGTATGGGCTGGTAACAAAGCAGTTAGGGAGCATCCCTTTGACTTTTTAAAAAAAAAGAAAAAGAATGACAGGTTCCCTGTAATCATGGTAAAGTCAGGAGGCAATTCCCTTACTCAGAATGTGGTAGAAAGTAAAGGAATTAGAAAACTATGAAAAAAACCCAGGCTATTTGGGTAAGAACATTTTGCTGTCCTGTTTAAATGTGATATTAATGACGAGATAGCAATTACCAAGAAATTTTGAAAGATGCGTGTAACATCTGAAAATGAGTTTAACTGATGGGGCATATCCCAACCCAGTCTGCTTGTTATGTGATTCCTTCTGCATTCAACAGATCTTTGTGGTTTAGAATAAAACAAGATCTGGGGAATTTACAAACTTATTTATATAGTGAGATAATTAATTAAGTTCTTACTGTTTATGCAGCCACCCAAATCACTTCACAGGTGAGAGAAAACCTTGTGTTGGTCTGAGCTCTTTAAATAGAAAGCACCTCCTAGCCTGCAACAGGATTTGAGGAGCTGTAGGAGTTATCATGCAACTTGAAGGAACAGCAAGGGGGAAAAAATACCCTCTGGGGCCCCATGATACCTCTGGCACCTTCTGCCTTGTATTTACTCTTTCCATCCTTTATGACTCTGCATTTCTATTGCAGGTGCACGCTGAAGGCCTAAAAGGAGAGGAAGTAAGAGAGACTCAATATCTCTTTTTTTTCATTGCAAGGATATTTTAATGTAATTCTGTTGCATGCTAGATTAGATTTTGCTTTAAAATAGTACTTTAAAGGGAAGGTGGATGGAAGCATTATCAGGATATTGAGAAATAAATTTTCCTATTTACAGTGGAGAAAATAATGAAAAAAGGAAAAAGGGCAATGTCATTTTCAGATGTGAATCTTACACCAATGAGAAGTATGAATTGTAGAGTCAGCTATGCAATTATCTAAGGACAGGGATGTATTAACATTAATGTTAACCAGTATTTGATTTTTTGCCTAGTTTGTCTCTGAACCTGGGCTCTCAAATAGGGGGGGACATACCCATTGTGTCAATCTGTTAGTCCTATGTATAAAATAAATATATACATATTTAGATTTTGATTTTTTGTTGGTAGATCTGTAATTTGCATTTAGCTGTTACTTAATACAATTGTATGCATAATGTAAATGATACTTTAAAGCCCTTCAGAGCTCGGTAGGCTTGGGGGAAATGCTGGTGGAAGCTGTTTATGCAAGAACTATTCTTTTCCACCACAAAACTCCAACCCAGAGTGTTCTAGTGGAATATCCAGGATATCCCAGCCTCTTCAGGAGTGTCACTACCTTTGAGAAACAGAGAAGCAGATATGGATAAGTGCCTGTTGAGTGTGGGTGGATCAGTCTGTCTGCAGCCTAGTGAGTGCTGATAATTTGAGTAGCCAGAGATTAAGGAGAAAAACAGCTGATCTCTGCACTGGTTCTTCAGGACTCGTGGGGAAAGTGGTGGTATAGCTCCTGTAAAGGCAGACAATGTGTCTAATGTGCCCATGCACATTTTCATAAAGATATTTTAACACTTTTTAAAAAAAACCCCTCAAACATCCCTGTAGGGAAAGCCTGGACCACGAGGACCGCAAGGCCACCCTGGACTTCCTGGACCTCCAGTAAGTTGTTTCTCTCACTACTTGTAATTTCAGAAGCTGAAACTCAGGCTGGAGTGAGGCATATGAAAATCTTATACATGATTCAGGTTCTAAAATATTTAAATGGTGCCCACAGCCCCCAGTTTTCTTCACTGCTGAGAGGAGGTGTCGTGCTGTGGATGGCTGTCTGAACACAGGGAAGTGACAACCAGGACATGGGCAGACTTTGCCTTAAGGCTGTAGTCATGCAGAACCTGATCATTTTTCTATTTCTAGTGTCCTGAAGAGCTGTATGGGCATTCAGCACATCTCAGAGAGGCACTGACTGATAATTTGTGAGCTGTCATGTCATGAAGGTCAGGGAGTAGCTGCTGTCAAAGGGGTTGGTGTTATGCCACAAGGTTGTGGCTGAAATACTTTCTGGATGAAAACTAGGAATTGAGTATGTGTGTTTATATTTCAACACAATTTTTACAACAGTTTGTACATGCCAACATTCTTACTTCTGATTTAAATTGTAGCCTGTTCTAGTTCTATTTTATGACCCAGCTCTGCAGGATGTCTCAGTTCAGACTGTCACTGCTGCCTCATTTGCAAACACTCTGTGTTTCCTCTCTTTTGAATTGATTGTTGTGTTTCACTGTTGATTGGCTTTTGTAAAATTGATGGCATTGTGAAGGTGTGTTATTTAAGTAAATCTGGTTTGAATTATGCAGTTTAAATATAGTTGTGTGCTCTGTATTTAATCAGGGCATTGTCACTTTATCTTGTTTACTCATTCTTTTCTGCTCACAGGACAACATAATCATCAGGTAAGAGTTGTCTAGGTAGCCATGCAATAATGGTAGCACGGAACAGCTAGGAAATCATACATAGTTCACAAGTTTTTCTTATTCTGTTAACTTTCTAAATCTTCTCCATTTTAAAGGGAGAGCCTGGTCTGGAAGGCAAGCCTGGAGTCCCTGGTTTGCCAGGTCAAAGGGTGAGTTGCTTCTTTTATTTAATCTGAGTCTCAGGAGGCTTGGGACAGCTTTGTTCAATAAGGTTTGCTACTTTCACCCATCTTACATATACTTGTCTACTTATATAAGAATCCTGAGGCCCAGATCCTTACCCTTATTCCTTATTCATTGTCCAGGAACTTTCAGTACCTCTTGGAGTTGACAGGTTGAATCAAGTACAGGTTCTTTCTTGCCATGTGCTCTCCTGTATTTATATCTGCTCCTTACCACTAAAGGGTTGCTTGATATGACTCTGAGTGTGCAGAACCACTGCTAATGTGGTCAGTTTGAAAGTTCAGAGAAATTCTGTTGTCCTGGAAGTCAAATGAGCGTAGCAATTCTTGCCATACTTATTATTTTGTGTTCTGTTTGGTCTGTACTCAAAAAGAGGGTTCCCAAAAATGGTAGCTGGTGTACCATTCTCTGCCAGGAGCTTAGTTTTCCTATGCATGAAAAAATATTGGATTTTTTCTGATGTGGAATTATGTCTTCACATATATAAGTACTGCTAAAGGTAAATTTTATAGTGGGCCTGATATTATTCCACTCATACTCTGAACCTGCTTTTCCTTGTTTGAGCCTGTTGAAGAACATCTCATGAGACAACACAGAATCAGAATATCCTGAGTTGGAAGGCACCAATCAGCATCATTGAGTCCAAATCCCTGCCCTACACAAAGGAGCCCCAAGAATCCCACCATGTTCCTGAGAGTATTCTTCAAACGCTTCTTGAACTCTTTCAGGCTTGGTGCTGTAATCACTGCCCTGGGGAGCCTGTTCCAGTGCTCAGCCACACCTGCGTGAAAAACCTTTTCCTGATATCCAGCCTAAATCTCCCCCACTTCAGCTTCATGCTGTTGCCTGAAGTCCTGTCACTGGTCACCAGAGAGAAGAGATCTGTACCTACCCCTTCTCTTCCCCTCAAAAAGGAGCTGTAACTGCAAGGAGGTTTCTCCTCAGTCTCCCCTTCTCCAGGCTGAACAGACCCAGTGTCCTCAGTCACTCCTCATAAGGCCATTCTCATTGCTCTCCTCTGGACACTCTCTAATATCTTTATGTGTTTCTTATATTGTGGCACCCAAAACTGCCCCCAGGACTCAAGGTGAGGCCACCCCAGTGCAGAGCCGAGTGGGACAATCCCCTCCCTTGCCCAGCTGGTGATGCTGTACCTGATGGCCCCCAGGACAGGGGTGACCCTCCTGGCTGCCCTGCTGAATCCAACTTCCCACTTACTAGGACCCCCAGGTCCTGTCCCACAGCTGCTTTCCAGCCTCATTCCCCAGCCTGCACATCCAAGGTTGCCCCATCCCAGGTGCAGGATCTGGCACTATGGATTCACACCAATCACCATACAGTTGGTGATTGCCCAGTCTATTTGTCAAGGTCTCTCTTCAGGGCCTCTTTGCCCTCAAGGGAATCGACAAATAAGAGTGGAAGTGAGATACCTGCTTAGCATTTTTGGAGGCAGTCACTTGGGTCTCAGTACTGCTGTTTAATGGGTCACTTTTTTAAGTAGCCACAGAGACTTGATGATATTTCACTCCTTAAAGGAGATCATGGAGTTTGCCTGCAGTGTTCAGCCTGTGTGAGAACCTGTGAGCATAGGAGGGTAATGAGCCAACAACAGTACAGGGAAAAAATATTTACCTTGCTAAGAGGTTTTCTGCAGACTGTCCATTGGATTGTGTGCTGGTAAACTTAGCTGTAAGCATGAATTTTAGGAATCTTCTCCTTGGGAAGACACTGCAAGCAGCCTATATCAACGCCTCAGCGAAAAATGGCATTTACTTGCTTTCTTGTAATTTCCTAAATGTTAGAAAACATCACTTTAGCAAATAACTGCGCTGCTTTGCTCCTAAGTTATTAAGTTAGAAATTATCCTGGTTTTAAAGTCTGCTGTGAAACATTGTTTCTTGAATAAGATTAATAGAGTATATTAGCTGGGTAAAGGACAGTGATCCATCAGGATTTGCAAGAGGACAGAAAATGCTCCTGTTAATGATCATTTGATTACAGATGTCATTTGATCTGTTCTGTCTTTGAATTTTTCCCTAGACTCTGTTGTGTCTAGCTAGTTAGACTTCTCCTAAGGGTCTTTATTAGTCACCAAGCATCTTAGATGAAAAGATACATTTTTTTAATTAAAGGCCATTATTCAATGACTGAATTCATGACATGAATCAAAGTACTGGGCTTGGTGGATCTACACAGATCCCATCCAAGGGCAGGAGGTAACAATTCCAACCTGAACCAAGCAACTGGGTTGTGTTCATTTTATTAGTCAAAAGTGCCTGGCAGCTGATGTCTGCATTTTGACAATGATACCCTCACATCAGGAGCACACTGTGTGAAGAAAAATGCTCTGCTATTCTCATGTGACCTGTAAGACCTTTGAGAGACAGACAATACTGTCCTGATTTTATTAAAACTGCTTGAAAAAGAAGAACTCTGAGAGTCTGCTTTCACTTTTAGGGTGGTTTTGTGGTTTTCTTTTCCCTTTTCCTGTCCTTCTTTTTCTTCTGTCAAATTGAAGAAAATTGAAGTGTTTTGGTTCTGCTCTTAAGTCTTTGATACCTGATGTACTGAAATATTTGTTGGAAATAAAACCAAATTTTTTTCTTGATAGGTACAAAAGGTGCAGGCTTATGAGACACTCCTGGAAAACACACAGATCTGTGGCCAGTACAGACTAAACACAGGGTTCCTCTTAAGTGTACTCAATAATTTGGATTTCAAGAATTTGCCTCTTTTTTAAATGCTACAATTTCATTCAAGTGATTGAAATTTCAGAGAGACCAATAGAAAACATTTATCCTGCAGCAATCTTGATGTAGGAACTGTTTAGACCATTTTGAGTGTGATATGCTGGACTGCAGCTTAGTTTTATAAAATAACATTGATAAAATCTGTCCAAGTTCCAGGCACAATCAGTACAAAACAAAAAATAATTCAGGAGTCTCATGAGGTAATAAGAATCAACTTATGAAAAGAAAATTAATGGAAAATATATTTATAATATAGTAACATTTAATAAATGTCCTTCTCCATGTTTGAGACTCAATGTACACAAGTCAGGCAGATAAATAACAAAAACACCACCACCACCACAATAATAATAATAATAATACTAAAAACTAATATTAGAAGTTTAAACTGGGAACGCCTCGGTTCAGGGTGCACTCTCCATCCAGAGGAGCAGTGTTCAGATCGCTTGTCAATGCAGGAAGGGTTTGTCCCTCTCAGCTGTCCTGGGAGATAAAAAGTTAACAAATCTGTGGAGGGCTGTTGAGTTCTTCCTGTGTTTGATGGTGGAAGAAATACAAGTATTTGACTTTCCATTCTTGACCTATCTCTCACCTGAGTGGATTGTTGCATATGAATTTCCTGTTCAGGCCAGTCACAACTTGAATTTGGAAGTCAACACTATTTCAGCTCTTACTTCTCTCTGTATGAACTGGCCTGGATTTGAAACACCTTAGGCTCCCAGAATCCAAGGGAAGGAGAGAGCTGACTGGTAATTCTAGGGTGAAATGGATAAATAATCCAGGAGAGAGAGGAGAATAAGTTTGCCTAGAAAATTAAGTAGGCTTTTTGGAAGGAGCCAGTCTCAAGGTGCAGTCTCTCTCAATGTCCAGAAGTCCTTATAACCCTTTACTTTGCCACAAATGCCCCAATAATCACTCGTGATCTGGCCAACCCTGGTGGTATTTTCATCCTCAAGCTACAGAGATGCCCTCACTTCAAAATTTACTGGTGTTACCTAATGCATATGGAGACTGTAAAAAGCTGGAGCCTTCAGGGAGCTCAAACATTGATTAACATTGCTGGATTTCTTCTGGTTTCTCTAGTAATGCAGAGGTAAAGAGACCAGATGAAATGGGTAATCCTAGTATGCCATCCAGGCTACAGGAGAAACAAAATTGGCATTTATGCCAGCAGTCATATTCATTCACAACTAAAGATGTTTTCTGCATACTTTGTACAAATCCACCTGAGTTCCTGGGCAAAACCTCAGAGAAAAACATGCTAAGAAAATACATGTCTATTCTGGCTATTGGACAACAAGATGGGAAACAGTTTTGGGCTGTGGAACCTTTCAGAATTTCCCCTCCAGCAGAGTGGAAACAGCATTTTTCCTTGGTTTCCTGTCCTCTGTATAGTAGATATCTTTCTGATGGATGGTTGTGTTTGTATTTATTTCTGGCTGTTTGAAATGTTCAGATGACTTTGCCTGCCCTGGCAAAGTTCAGCCATGCAGAAATCAAACCCTAAGCAAGTTAACAAAAAAAAGGGAAAAGGGATTGATGCCATGATAGACTAAATCCAGAGTGAAACTGCAATTGTCAGTGAGGTAAATACACGAATGTCCAATAAAACACATATTTTTAACTGTGCTTTTGTTCAAATTGCTGATAAAGGCAAATAGGATATATTTCATATTGTCAAAAGATACACAATCTTACAGACTTACCTGATTCTTACTGTAGGTAACAACATAATTTTTGGTTTTCTGTCATATTATTAGGCAGTGTGACATTTCACTGAGTTTTGCTCTCATAGGTATAATTTCTCCCAGCAAGTATTTCTGTCCTTTACAGACAGACAATAATGCTTTGGAGTGAATCTATTGTAGTTGGATTTCAGCTAACCTCCAAGTGGCCCACAAGTCCTCTTCAGAATAGGAAACCTCTGTCAGTCTCTCTGTCTGTATAATTATATGTTGCTTTAAGAGATTTCTTAATGTTTTGAAAAGACCTGAAGATTCTCAACATTATACCCAAGGAAAGAATAAACAGCTCCTCTTGCATCTCTTCTGGAGACAGAACAGTTGTTGGTGGGACATAAAGGCATCAGTAAAACTGTGTTGTTTTGATGGATACAATTAAGGATGCTTCCTCTGTTCCTGGTGCCAAATCCCCCTCTGTTTCTTGGGACCAAGCCACAGAGTAGAACACTACAGCATCTCTCTTATGAGGAAAACTGTGAGAGCTGGGCCTGTTTAGCCTGGAAAAGTGATGACTGAGGGACCTCATCCCTGTCTGTCAGTGTCTGCAGGGAGGGGTCAGAGCATGGACCAGGCTCTGCTCAGGTGCCCAGCAATTGCACAAGAGGAACAGGCAGGAACTGATGCACAGGAAGTTCCACCTGACTATGAGGAAGAACTTCTTTACTATGAAGTGACTGAGCACTGGAGTCTCCCTCACTGGAGATATTCTATAATTGTCTGAACACAATCCTGTAGCTTTGCTCTGGGATGGTCCTGCCTGAGCAGGGAGGTTGCACTAGATGACCTACTGTGGTGCCTTCCAACCTGACCCATTCTGTGATTCCAGGATTCTGTGATGCTCTGTTCTGGCCTCAATGTTGTAACTCTGGAAGTAGCCACCTTGGCATGTAGCTCCCACACGGAGAGGAAGCTGGAGGTGGCTCATCTCCTGTGTCTGGCCCCCCAAACCACATCCTGTATGCTTTATTCATAAACTTATGTATTTATTTAAATGAGTATTTTAACAGTGCCATTTGCATGGTCACCTTGGCAGTGGGCAAAATGATCATCTTTAACTAGAAAACATATGTTAAATCATGTGGCGACATGAGTCCTTCAAATTAAAAATGAGATCTTGTTGGCTTTGACAAGAAAAGAAATGATGGACCTTGGAAAAGTAGAAGGAACATCTATGAATCGTGGGTGTGCTGGAGTATATAATTCAAATTTTTATTGATATTGAGTCCTGCAAATGATTACAAATTCCTTCTGATACCTAAGGACCCTATAATCACTCCTTTAATATTCTTCTTAAATTCTTCTGTATATGAACACTGATTTTCATTGTTTTAGGGTGGATGATTTCTGGGGATTTTTTAATGAGAAAAATAATTAAAATAACCGATTCTGACACATCATATAATAAATCTCAGTCACAGCTGAGGAAAATATGATGAAAACTTGTTTTTGATGGTTTAGATTTTTCATTCATTTAAGTCAGCAAAAAACTGCTGTTAATAGATGCTGTTTCTGCACATGTTTCAATGAAGAAAAGTAAAGGGAAGATTTTATGTTTGACCCTTCACATTATCAGGGACATTAAACTTTGTTAATACCAAGTCACCTTTGAAAAGAAAATCAGTCTGGATGAGAAGCAGAAATAAAGGAGGAAAAAGTCTGTCTCGCAGATATTTACATGACTCCTCTTGTACCCTCCCACTGTATTATTAACAGCCTTAGAAATATTTATGATTCAATGTCAGTTACATAAGAGGGAAAAAGAGATAATTTTTATAAAATATGTGACTTACCTAAAGTAACATACCAAGTCACCTTGTGGGTTAAGAAACAAATCCAATCTCTGCCTTAATTCCAGTGCTTACTCCATCCTTTCTTCCTCATTTTTCTCATGTTGGATTTTTTCCTTTTGAATTATTTGAGATCAAACCCATGGGGACACAGAGGTCCAGCATCCATACAGGTGACCTTGTCTCAGGGTTGTACTCCAGCTCTTGGCTTGTCCTTGCCTTGCACCAGTGGAGTTCTCTGGTTCCTTTGAAGGGATATTTTTTACTTACAGAGGAGTCCATGAGCTCTGCCCTTTGGTGCTAATGCTACCTTTACCTAGAAATGCCTCATGGATTCCTGTTTCCCAGCTTAGAGATTGTGGATCTTTTCTGTTCAACCATGCACCAGAGTTCTCAATTATTTTATTTCTTTATGCACGAAGGAGGGCAAGGGACCAGAGTGATACTGCATTACCTCTCAGCCCATGTTTACACTTGGCACCTCCCTTGGCTGCATCTCAGCACCATGACTTCCTTCCCCTCTGTAGGGGGAAGCCAGGTGGGATTGCAGAATGTAGGAGGTGCCACAATGTGCGTGAGAACAGCTGTCCACTTTACAGCTATTGTCACAATTTGGGAGATACAGGATTGTTAAAGACAACTGGGGTTTCATTTCCAAATGGTGTCTGTTGTTTTCATTTCTGGCTTTTGTGTTTTGTGTACCCATGTTACCTTGATTTACCAGTTTGGTGGTGAAAGACTGGAAAATCAGTAGCAGTTTTTGGTCTGCTCTCTAATATGTGCTCTGTTGAACATGCAGGGTAAAAAGGGAGAACCAGGATTCCCAGGAATCAATGGTCTGATTGGCCCTCAGGTAAGCAATGATTTCTTCATTTTCCTATAATATGTGTAAAACCAGATTTGGTGGCCACAGAGGACATGGAACCATACAATGCAGCCGGTGTGATCTTCTTTTTACTGTATTTGAAGTTCATGTTTCTCCTTTTAAGATGCAAATAATTCATCTTGTTGAGATTGAGAGATGTCTGTCTGTCTGACAGCAATTTCACTTGCTTTCCAGAGGTTTTCAACACCTTGGAATCAGGACAGCTGTGTTGTATATGATTTCCCCATTGCTTGTGCTTAGAACAGCATCATCCCAGAGGGAAACCGCTGATTTGCATTTAGTGAGGAAGGAAGATGTCTTAAGTTAATGATCCCTTAACTCCTTCTTTTTAAAGCTTTTGGCAAATTAGAGCTCCAAAATGCACCATAACATCATAAGGGCAACACAGAGTGGTTTAAGTTAAGAATCATCAGAGAGAATTCAGCTCCACCATGGATCAGCCTGTCTGGCCCTGTGTTATGGTAACACTGACACCTCTGACATAGTTTCTTGATAATTTTGGAGACAAATTCAGCAGACGTGAATTACTTTGTAGGGTCACCCCTGCAGTAAGAAAAATATCCATGGGAATGTCCTAAAGCAGGAAAGGTGCAACCTCACATTGAGCTGACTGCTCAGAATAAAACTGAGCATTTCATTTGTTCCCCTTTCAATAGTAAATTAACAAACTAGACATTGGCTTTAGGATTGTATTTCAATAATTGCTAAAGTCTGGGGAAGAATGATGAGCTTCCATTGCTACAGCTGTTGGTGATGCAATGCAACAAGCAGCACACTGCTGTACTGGTGTGGGGTTTAGATAGTGGTTGCTAGTACTGATTCCCCAAAAAGCATCTCCTGTGGAAAAGCCACTCGGGTAAGCATTGAGGGAAAGCAGTCAAGTCCACACACACCACACTCATCACAGCTAGGTCAGCAAGGAGAGGCAGAAGGGCCTTTTATATGGCCAGTTCCAGCGAGATTTATTTCAGCACACCAAACTAAAACCAGAAAAAAAGACATGACCATGTGCTCTGCACAAGTTTTGGGTAGGGGCAGGCATGGGGGTGGTACAAAGGGCAGGGCAAAGGGCATTGGCTTTCAGGGAAAATGGGGCAGGCCACCAAGGACACCACAACCAATGGGGAAACCTGGAAACGAGAAACCAGGGGAAGTTAGGACATATGGGGAAAGGAGCTGGGATGGGTCGGTGTTAAGCAAAAGTCCGTGAGGAAGTGCTTTCTGTCTGCCCAGGTGGGGTAGACTGTATGGTGTCTCCCAGGGAGGGCTCTGGGGATTTCCCTGAGGGGGAAGGAATCACACTGCTAGACAGCAGGTACTGATTGCTCATTTATTTGCTCTGGCAATTTATGCCCTTGAAAGCAGGAGGAATGATCTAGAACTGGTTTTTGTGACAGGAGTTTTGTAAAGAGCTGTTCACCTGTCTGTGGAGAATGTCAGAGGTAATCCAAGGGGTGGAGGCCCCATGCAGGTGAAGACCCATGCAGGAGGACCCATGCAGGTCTTTGCCCTGCAAAGACCATTTGATACTGGTTTTCATATTTTAAGACTTTCTTTCCATACAGTATCTAATTTGCAAGTATTTCAGCAGCAGCCTGCAAGAATGAAGACAGTGTTTCTAATGGATTTAGAAGATTTTAGAATCATAGAATATTCTGAGTTTAAAGGAACTCAGAAGGATCATCAAATACAACTTCTGGCCCTGCACAGGGCACTCCAAGAATCCTTTCCTATGCCTGAGAGCGTACATGAACACCTATTGAATTCTTGAATCGTTGAGTCCAACACCCTTCTTTTGTTTTCTTATTTTTCTTAGGTTGGTTGGTTGTTGGGTTTTTTTTTGGTTTTTTTTTTTTTTTTTGTAGTTTAGTTTTTTATTTTTTTCTTTTCCTTCATTTTGGAGAAGATTTTTTATCCATGTATTATTTTTAAGATACTTGACAGTATCCATCCAAACAATGTCACACTTACTTAGCTCAAGTTCTCTGCAAATTAAACATACATATGCATGTGTTAGCAATTTTATAAATGTATCTGTGAAAATTGCTGACACAGGATTAAGTAATTTTCGTTTTTGCACAAGCTAAATAACGTTAGCAAATTTTGTGTTAATTAAAACTGCACAAAATGCTTGCCCCATCAAGAGATACTTAAATTGACTCTTCCTCCAAGCTAACTGAATGAAAGGTAAAATATTGTTCCTATTCCTGCAGTGGCACTCTGTTCTAGACATATTACTTGTTTCTCTTTAATGAAAATGCTTACATTCACTTTGTGACAAAACTACTTTTCAGCTTAACAGCACTTTTTGTGGCATTAGATTTTAAAAACATTTTATCAGCATTTTTTTTTTCTTTTATTTTTTTTTTTCTTAATTAGACTATGCCCCAAAAATGCCCAGGAAGAAAAGTGGTTTTCTTATACTGTAGTTACATGGATATTCATTCAAGTTATGTATGGAAGTCTGTGTCAGCTGTTCTTGTGCTGTCCCCATGGTATTGAGGGACAGCTGATTTGAGTTGGCTGTATATAAACTAGATTAGAACACAAAAATAGTCTCCTTTTCCTCTGCAATTTTAAATTATGTTTTCTGACCTGATTCCCCACATTGATACCTGTATGGACAAGAGGAAGGCATTGATACAGGAGCTTTAGAAGGCTCATTGTTGCTGAAGGACACAGGAAAGATCTTCTGAAGTTATTATTGGGCTTTGTCAAGAAAAATCGTTGCTGTCTTGCTCAGTCCAACTGAGAAGCTGCAGAAGGGAACTGACTTAAGGACTACTCTTGTGGTTCCCTTCCAGCTCAAGATATTCTGTGATTCTATGGTCCAGTGATCAACTCCAGTTAAGTCACTCCAAGTCTCAAGGACCATTCCAGAGATTATTTGTCAAGCCCTGAAGAAGCATCTAGGAAGCAACTTCCCTGCTAGACTGGGGATGTTTTGTGGCAACAGGGTAGCTTTGTCTCTCTTTGCACACACCAACTCAAACCAAATAATATAAAAATATTTTTAAATATTTATTTTTCTTTCCAGATCAGCTGTGGTGTTGAACCTGTCCATCTGCTTATTTGTTTCATGTTGTCTGATCAGCACCTTTAAAAATGAGCATTTATTTTCCAGTCATCTTTACAAATGGTGCATCTTGCAACATCATTAAGCCATGGAATAGAAACTCTGGATATTTTTTCCTGTCTGGACTTCAATAATTTTTTGGCAGCAAGTACACAGACACCTGAACTTAATAATGTGTTTGTGTTGTTACTATTTATTTGTACTATTTTAGTGTCCAGGAACCTTAATCATAGACCCAACTTCTATTGCAGTAGGATGTTCAAATGCAGACTGGAAAATGAGCATTTCTGTAGAGAACTTTAGGCTGAAATAATTGTCTTAGGCACTCTGAACTGTATCATGGAATTACCAGGGTTTGGCTCCAAATGCAAGCACTTTTTGGGTTAAGAATGGAGATGCAGGTGCCTGCTCCTGTTGATGAGGATTCAGTTAATATCATCAGTGGATCCTGAAGCTCTCTTAAAACAGACACCTACAAATGGGCCACTGAGCCACTGTCGAGGCTCCCTGAGCTGCGTGGGTACTTGCTGGCCACCTGGGAGACAGCAAAACACACCAAAAGTCTTTGAGATTTAAAGAAAAATGCCATAGCTCTGCCTTGCAATACCTCTGGGCTGTTACTGAGGCTTGCTTTGTGCTAGATAACCTGGTAGTGTAAGTCAGACCTATTAGGGAGACCAGTACAAGCTGTACCTATTATAGTCCTGGCTGGCAGTGATTTAATTAGTATAGACTTGTCTGTAGGGTGTGAGCTCAAGCCTAGATTTTCTTAAGTAATTCAGGAAATAAATTATCACCTCTGAAACACACGGTGTCCTTAATGTCCTTTTTATAATGCAAGTTAATACTGCAAAATGTAAGGAAAGGATGTGGGCCCCAGCTGCAAAGCTCAGATTGAATTCAGACTTTGCCAGTGCTGCTTGGAATTGGAAGATACTGCTCAGAGCGATCTTTAATAAGATCTATACCTTTAAAAAAAATAAATTAAAAAAGTCCTCACCTGTGAAGATTGCTAATCGTGCTGAAACAAAAGACATTAAAGGAGGTTTTTTAGTTGTTTTTTCTCATTTGCTGCACTGACTCAGTCAACCAACTCCAAGCAAACACATGGGGAAATAAATCTTCCTCTGAAGACAAAAGAGATCGTGTCCATAGCTTACACTAAGTGATTAAATTAAACAAACACTGCCTTTCACTGGAAGCAGGAAACTCTCCTAGAAAGACTGCTATGTACAAAGTCAACTTTATTCCATACTTTTAAAGAGTTGCAAAGACAGTCTGGAGAATTTTTTGTTGGCAGAACTTTAAATTTAATGTTGGTACTCGAGTTCCAATGCCACCTGATGAAATGACTGGAGACTGGATCCGTGTATGAATTATGGCACTGTCACTGATGCTGACTGTAGGATATATATTGTAGACGAATGTTCACATCTGTTGGCTCTTCAAACTTTTGATTTTTAGTGACATCAGCCACAGCTTTTTTTTATAAGTTCTCTTACCTTTGTATTTGTAAGACAGGATTTAAGCAGAGAGAGAAACACAGTGCTCTAATGCAGCATTACAGAAAATAGTCATAATTTCCATTTTAGATTGGATATGAGAAAACATTTCTTCACTGAAAGGGTGGTCAAGCACTGGATCAGGCTGCCCAGGGAAATGGTAGAATCACTGTCCCTGGACACTGTCCCTGGAGCTATTTAAAAGAAGTGGCACTTAGAGATGTGATGTGATTTGGCAGCGGCTCTGGCAGCCCTGAGCTGATGGTTGGAGGGTCTTAGAGGTCTTTTCCAACCACAATGATTCTCTGATTGTATAATTCCAATTCAAGCAGTAGTGGCTGGGGTGAGAAATGAAAAGCAGATTTGAGGAGCTGATCCTGGAATCCACTCAGATGCTGTAGAGGAGAAGTGGAGCGCTGCAGTAGCAAAGGAGACAGTGAGACATGTGGACTGCTCCACAAAACTGTCTGCAACAGCTTCATTTCTGAAGGGAAAGGGATGTAAATAAAGGAAAGACAGCCCAAAGGCAACAGGAAGGGTCTGTGGGGTCTTTCTAAGAGGTGAAATTGTGGGGAATGTCTTTGGAGACAGGAAGAGAGAGTGGAAGGGGAAAGGCTGTCAGTCCCTCAGTTACTCATTTTGCTCTCATTTTGGCAGCAGACAGAATGCTTCTGTGTATGTGAAGTGCTACACTGCATTAGCAGCCCAGACCAGAAACTGTTTTAATATGGGTTAAGGGCTTATCTAAACCTTTGTAATAGTGTAAGAGAATCCAGACAACAGCATGGAATAATACACAGATAATATGTCTGTTGAGGCTTTGCCTTCAGGTGTCTGGGAAAACCATCAGACTTCAGTTTTCTTTGTGGAATGTCATTTGTTCACCTCCCTTTAAGACTTAATCATCCCTTCTTTCATGTAAAAGAGATTTAGGCCCAGCTGCCTACTGATGGAGTCACAGACAAAGGTTTCTGTTCCTTCTCAGAGCCTCCTTAGGGAGTCCACAACCTAAATCTTAAAATCCCTGCCTTTCCCAGCCCATCTTCTAGCAAGGTACACACTGGAAGAGGAGAGCACTGGAGAGTGGATTCTGGAGGACAGATACAGCTGTGTCTCCAGTAGGAACAGTGTCAGATTTCTTTCCTGAGCACTGTCACTGCATTACATTGCCTAAGGAATGGGCTGGATGAAACACAAGCCTGAAAAAAATCCACCCTTGACAATGTTTTTAAAGATATCCTATCCCAAAACACACATGCCTCTACACAATATTTAGATTTTAGATTTTAATAAACATTTGAAATATTTTTGTTTCAGAACAGCAGTTTGAAAATATTCTGGTCTAAACATTTTATTAAAAAAATTCCATGTTTTGCATTTGTTTTCCAAAGTGAGTTTGTGTTGATCTGTTCTAAAATCAAGTTTTCATGTATCACTTCTTGCTTCAACACTTACAAACCACATGTCAAAGAGTTTACCAGCCGGAAAAAAAAATACACCCTATGATTATTTTCTTCTGGTTCAGGGTTTTAACAGGACAACACTGTGGTCTGGATTTGGGATAGGGACTCTCATCTGTATAATTCATCAAATAATCTTTGAAAAAGGTGGTTGTGTAAATCAGGTGCTTTAATCTGGATTCACTTAAAAATGGAAGCAAAGAAAACAGATGGTGTGAGATTTTTTTTGGGTAAACATTACACACAGTCCTGCTGCTGTAGTTTTATCGTGTTGGGTTTTTTAAAACATAAATAGATTCTGTCAGTTTGGTGAATTCTAATATTTTTTTAAAAAAAAATTACTTCCTCTGGATTATAATCGGAAATCAGGAGAAGGGCTACAATATGAGATGTTGATATGCAAGTGAAACAGAAATTCTCTGCACAGTAGCAAAAGGGAGTGCTCTGTAAGGGATATTTTTTATGTATTTCTGCCATTTTATTTCACTTTGTCCCATCACTTGCTGTATCCCAGGCAGCAGAAAGCAGGAAACCCAGCAGGACAGTCAGTGACTGCTGTGTGCAGTCAGCTGGAGCAGGCTGACAGCACCCTGTTCATCTCCAAGGGATAATGCTGGCCATTCCATAAAACTGTTCTTTCTGTCTCCACCTCAGGGAAGATTCTATCCGAAGAGCTTCCCATTAGTGGGTGTAGCATTTGTTGGTACAACACACGGCGAGGCTACCTGTAAACCAGTTTGGGCATGATATCCTTGGGTGGTTATCTCTTGGAGGACAATGAAATTGAATTATTCGTGGCAATTTAGGAAAAGGATCAGTGGGATTCAATTTCAGGACTTACAGTTGCATAAGGTTATTGTGGTCTAGGATATGGAAAGTTTTAGAGAGTAATTAGAAATCGTCTTGGATAGTGAGAATACCAAGACTTAGTGGGAGAAAGAGCTGGGATGAGGAGGATGTAGCACTTCACATTTTAGGGATTATACTGGTTGCTGACAGATGCTGGAGTAAGACTTTGCTTTTAGATCAGATTGACCCCTGCCAATTCACAGTGTGGGGTAACACAACATACCTGGGATTGCTTGGGCTGAGGCTGGGTCCTGACTGGGGTTTTTCACCTCCTGATAGAAATTCCCTGGTTCAGGGCTAGGAAAGATGTGTTTCCTGGTGGGAGACAGTTCACTTACTGACAGAGAGAGAACAAAATTAAAATATCAGGAAGGAACTGATGGGATTGTCAAGAAAAGTCTGCAAATTTACACATAGTCTAATCTGAATCAGTTTGTAGTTTTTCTAAAGTTTTACTTTTTTTCCCAGCACTGCCCCCATTCTTCATGGAAGCCCCCTCTTGGAGCCCATACCTTCTGTAGGGCCTCCCAGCAGTGCCCTGTAGAGGTGGAGCAGGGCCAAGCAGAATTTCCATGTCCTTGGTGTGTGTTTGCTCCATCCAGCTGTGGCTGCACACAGTTGTGTCTGTGTGTAGTATTTTCTCTTGTGCTGAGTTTATTTGGACTGTTGAGTCTTTTCCTTGAATGGTGAAGCCTTTGTAAGTGAAGGATGGTCTTGACCAGGTATCTCTTGATGGGTGTAGAATCTCTAACTGCAGGATCCAACTGCAGGGCTCCCCAGGAATTAAATCATCAGCATCAGTGCATCTGAAGGCACTCTGCAAGTGAGAGTGTTGTTGACAGGAGAACTCCATGTCTGTTCTGAGTTGCAATGAGGCAAGTGCAGCTACAGTTTCCTTTTCTGGACTCTTTGCCCCATCTGTTGGTGAGAGACTGTCTTAGCTCCTGGATGAAGCTTGTGAATGTATTTTATAAGATCACTTATCTGCCATCTCTGCTAAACCATGCCTCAAATAGATTCTTCTCCTCACCTTTTTACACCATTTTCTTCTCATCATCTACATTTTTCATTAAAAATAAATGCTAATATTGATCTATGACTTGTAATACCTTAATATTGAATGAGGACAGAGAAAATGCTGTCTGTCTAGTATCAATTGCTCAGTTTCAAATCTTTACAGAGGTTTTCAGTGGGGTGGTTTGTTGATTCCTAAGTAGAATCACACCAGAACTCCCTGTATGCTGAAAACTGAAAATTAGTGAGATTGTCATGTTAGAAAGACAGAAAAAGGCAGGCAGGGTAAAATTTCAACTCAGTCACATATCCGTTTCTCTTGCTGTTTGCTCAGGTCCTGATCCAAAAAATACATTAACACATTTCATTCTGAGCATAGGAGAAATCCTGTCTTGTCTACAGGTGAAGCTGGCAGTAACAAACACCTCTGTATCACAAGCAACATAATAAGATTTGTCGAGGCTGGAAACAAATCTCTCATAGGAAGCCAAATTTAACAATATGCTTGATGCATAAAAAAAGATCCATCTTTAAACCAGGTGTCTTATTGAGTGAATATTTCTCCTAAGAGAAACATCTGTTGCAGGGAAATGAAGAAGAATGTTAAGATATTTCCAACTGAATGTGTTCATCAAACTATGAGTTTGTGAGGATCTTTTACTACCTACCAGGTTGATGTTGAGCAACAAAATGGTGGCAAATTTTGTTTTGCGACACTTGAGTCATTGCAGCATTTCTTTTGGGTTTGTGTTTTTAACCCCATCCTCCCAAAAAAGGCATGCTCAAACCACAAGCCTGTTCATTAGTTGCTTTCAGCAATTTTTTTTTTAGAGGTAAATTATTCACTTTGAAACAACATGAATCAAGCTTAATTTTGTCTGGAAGCTCCAAGGAATCCCACTAGTCAAGCTTTGTGTTGTATGCTATCACTGATGGCCTTCCACTTCTCTTTCTCTTGTACTGGAGTGGCGGATGGAGCTCCCATTATAGCAATGGCAGCAGTGGCTTAAGCAGAAGAAAATGTTCTACCTGTGTTCATGGCCCCTTGCTTTGGCATCTTGCACTTTTTGGGTAGAACTTAAGCAAATAAAGCTCAGTGCTTTTGCCTGTTTCCTACATGGCCCCTATTACACAGGAGAGGACCTGAGGCTTTCAGCTCCTTCCAGAGAATTTGATAAATTGGCTTTGTTTCCTTTCTTGCAGGGACCTCCAGGGCCCCCAGGCACTGCTGGACCCCCGGGACCGCCTGGGCCACCGGTAAGAAAGCTTGGGAGGATTTGGTTTTATATCAAGAAGAAGAAAAAACAGCTGGAGAAAATTTTAGGGCTTGGCTTTCAGAGGCAACAGAGTTAAGGCCTCTGGCAATGTGGGGTTTCTCTTATATTTTCTCTGCTGCAAAGCCACAACTGGTCCTAGAGCACAGCTTCTCCCTGCTGAGCCTTGGAACCACGTTGGTGCTTCCTGGGGATAATTCAGGGTCTCCAGGACTCCCCACAACCATGACCTGACTGCAGTGGAAGAGAAAAATGCACTTCAAGTGAAAGTAGCAATCTCCAGTGAGATTCCTGCAGAGAACAGAAATACTGATTTATTTTTTCTCCTGATTTCATTTCTCAGGGACTGCCAGGAGAGATTGGAGTTTCTGGTAAAACTGGACCACCTGGACCAGCTGTAAGTTGAGGAACTGTTTCCCTACCTCACAGTTCTTCATTACTTGAGATAGTTTAATTCTGAAGTCTTCTTTTTTCCCACATTTTTTCTGCACACAAGGTTTTAACATGGGCTCCAATACTGTCACTTTTAATCCATAAATTAATCTCAGATACCTCTTCTGAATAAGAATTTTACCAGGTGCAGCCCCACTATTCCTATGCAATTGGATCATGATATTTTCTTCATATGATACCTTTTAAAATTCCTTTTGCATTTGACACAGTATTGTTTCTGCAAACCTGGAATTTCCTGAGTCAGGCCAAATAACTCATGATTAAAATCTCAGATTTAGCAGAGTGTAGCAATTTCTGTTGTTCTTAAGTCATAAAAACTGAATAATTAAATACTTAGTACAGAATTGCCACCTACAGTCTGCAGTGTGTGTGGATTGACTGACACTTGGAAAAGGGAAGAAAACTTTTTTCTTGCCATTTTAAATGCATTACAGGAAGTAATTTTAATTCTTATCTTGCTGAACCACTCTGTCACTATGTGCTATATAATTTAATTTTAGGTGTCTGTCTACTGTATAAGAAATTGTCAAGATTTAAAAGGAGAAACATGTTAAAAAAATACAGCTACAGGTAATAGGGACTTATAGAGAATAAGCTCAAATGTAAGTAAGGTACATAAAAAATTTAAAGATCCTCAGTACATAAAAGTTCTATACTGGAGTTTCTCTGTAGCAATGCTGACATCCAGTGGTCATTCACTAAAACTGGGATACTGGAAGAAGGGGCAGAGCAAATACGTACAGTGTGAGAATTTTTGTGTCTTTTGAGAAGGGAAAAAAATGAAAAAAAATCAAACCAAAATGCATCTTTTCTTTAACTTAGGTGGGTGGCAGGAGGGATGAGCTGAGCATATTTATGCTGAGTTTGCTGGTAGCAATTTAAAGAACTGGCACTTAGAGCTTATGTTTTCCTCTTGTTTAGGGGCTGCCTGGCAAAGATGGACTCAGTGGGCTTCCAGGGCTTCCAGGTCAAAAGGCAAGTGACACCACAGACGCTGGGATTAAGCTCCTTACCTGGGCAGATCATTGGGGTGAGCAAGCCAGGGAAGCAGGAAAAACACAGCTGGGCATTGCAAACAATCAGTCAGGAAATCCAGTGACTCTGGCAAGTTAAGGCATATATCCAAAGCACAAAGAAGAACAAAGAAGTGTAGCAGGCTCTAAAGATGTTCCTTTCTTTCCCTGAAGGGCTAGAAAGAAGGAATGCCATTCCCCGAGCCTTCTCTAGGTCTGTGTGGCAGAAAGTTGGTTCTTTATTTTTTCCTATTTCTTCTGTCCCATTTTTTTCAAATTACTTTTCCAAATTACGGCTTGGGAGTTGTCTCCTCCATTGTCTATGCATTGGGAGAAGGGACATAGTACATGTAGAGATAGGAGACACTTGATTTCTCATCCCCCTGCAAGTAAGGGACAAAGAAATGTACCATGTTTTGACTACAAAGGCCAAACTAGGTTTTGGGGATGATGATTATATTAAAGATTATTATATTAAAGAAAATAGCTCTTAACCATCTATTGCCTTGGATTGCCGTGGCAGAGGTTTTCTTGCTTCTGATACTTGATCGCAGATCTAGCAGAGTCCCCAGCTCCCATTTATTGATGAATAAAGGTGAGGAATTTGCAATACATAACATATTTCTGATGTTAAACAAAGTTTGGATTTTATCCACACATCTGTGTAGTATTTCCTGCACTTCCCAGCTGTGTAGCCACGTTTCAACCCCTGTAGCCTCTGCTGTCCATGCTGATGCCACCCACCTTGGAAGATCAGTTTTAAAGTATTTACACAATGGATCTAGTGACCAAGGCTCCAGTCCCAAAATTTTCTAGTTTTTTAAAACACTTTCTAACTTTATAACCACATACAGTTTGAAGAAACTGAATGGAGATGTTTTTTTCCCAGATCATTCACCATGGACAACTTTAATGTAACAGTGATTGTGTTATTCCAGAAATTCTCCAGTAGGGTGCTGCAGATGTGATTGCAAATGGCACTAGAGTGGAAAAGCATTCCAGGAAGCATATTCTCATATGACTCCATTTACACCCTCAAGCTGATCCTGAGGAGCTGAGTTAAAATATTTCTCACCATTGATTGCAGATGTGGTGCACAAACACCAGAGGAGTTTGTGTATTGACCTGTTATGTTCCCTGCAGGGAGAACGAGGGGAAAAGGGTGAGGAAGGCTTTCCTGGAAAAGCTGGCCCTAAGGTAAGGGATTGTATTTCATAGTCTGCTGAGTATTCACTGAGTCAACCAAGGTGTGATTTTGGAAGGTCTTATACTGAAATCAGGAGAAGAAGATTCCTCTGAAGTTGGAGACATAAAGGGACGAGCAGGTGTGGTTCACTGACTTTCACAGTGTTCCAAAATACCAACCCTTGTTTGATGCTCCTCTCTCAAGGCTGAGTGTTCAGGGAGAGCTCACCTGGACCTTGCATTGGCTCCCTGCAGGCTGCGCTCCCAAGCCATCAAAAAAGGCAATTTCAGAACCTTGTGGGATCTGGGTAGAACAACATGGACCACCAGTAGGGACCACAGTTTGCTAATGAGGAAGTGTTCTTACCAGAGAGTCAAGTCCTTACAGTGTTATAGATTTGCTTTTGTTTTTCCAGGGTGAACCAGGGAGCCGTGGCCAGCCTGGTGAGCAGGTGAGCAGAAAAACAGTCTTAACAGCAAACCTTACTTGTCAAAACAACAGCAAGTGGCCACATGGGATGACAAATCCATTTGCCAATGACAAGATCTGTGCATAACACTTGCATCTGTGATTGAAGGTGGAACAGTTGTATGGATGAGACTTATGGTTGATTTTAGAGGTCTTTTCCAACCTTAATGATTCTATTGATGGAATAACACTACAAGTCTGAGGCATAAATTGAGGTTTATTGGGGTAAGGCACTCATTAAGTTAATAACAATTACCCCATCCTGTGAGTCTGGACTATTCCAAAAGTCCTTATAATCTGCCTGATCGGTATCACTCAGTTCCCAGGAAAGTATCCTTACCTGGTGTCCCAGGTAAGGGGAAATCAGCACAGCATGGGCAAATGTTCCCCAGGAGTGTTTTCATCAGGCTCCAAGGGAGGAGTGGTTTCTGTGCCCTTCCTTGATGTCATTTCACTGTAGCTGGGCAAACAGACTACCAGGCTTAAAGTTTCCAGGCAGGCTTGGTCCAAGTGCCACAAGGGACCAGACCCCAACCAGAACACTGGCCCTTGGTCTGAATCATCTCCCCACACAGGGCTGTTTTGAATTTTAACACCACCTTCCGAGACACTTGCCGCTCTCTCCACAATGTGATATTGTCCACGTTTCATAAATGCTCTCTTTCCTGTTGTAAGTTGAATAGTGCTGTCCCTGAGAGGACTTATACTTCATACAGCCTCTGAATTTTGACAGTAAGTTGCTAATAGGAGGTATATGAATGCTGTTTCTTCATTCAGTTGTACACCACACTCCAGAGACCATTCTACACTACATTGTGTGGTTACAGATGAGAACATCATGTTGGCCTATGCCTGATATTTTACTAAAGATTCATCGGAAAAATGCTTTCTTCTTGTCTGCTTAGTTTTCATGTCTAAGGAGGGAACTGGATGGGTTTGATACAATCAGTTTTTAACAAATCCACGTTGGCTGTTTTGTATTATCTTTCTGTCCTTGAACTCATACAAACTCAATGATATTTTGCTTCAAGACCTTTTCAGAAGCCAAATTTACACCATGTTTTTATTTTCCTTCTAAATTCTCCTCTGTCTCATTCAGTGTTATATGCTCTGATTGCTCTCTGAATCTCTGGAATCGCTGGGATCTCATTGTCATTTCCATTCCAGGAAGTGTCCAAGGCCAGATTGGAGCAACCTGGTTGAGGAGAAGGTGTCCCTGCCCATGGCAGGGGCCTGGAACTAGAAGGTCTTTAGGGTCCCTTCCAACCCAAACTACTCTGGTTATTCCATGATAGCCAGGATCCCACAGTGGCTCTGAAAAAGCACCACTCCATCTGTCACCAAATGCCACTTTCTTTAAAATTCTCCCAGCATCACCCAGATGTTCTTAGTCATCCTCAGTTACTACATTATCTTGTTCCTCACCTGATTTTGTCTACCCACTGCACCTCTACCATGATAATATTTTGTTCTCCCTATACTTAGAGGAGCTTTAGAGCAGGGATTACCTTTTCTTAGTTCAGTATTTGTACAAGACTTAGTGAATTTGGGTCCTGTCCGTGACTGATCTCCTTCGTGATATTGCACTATAAATTCAGATAGAAAAGAATTATAAGTAGGAAACCACATGGTTATTTTCAGATTACAAACTGGGTCAACTGGAAGCTAAATTTGAGACTACTTTATATATTTAGGAGAAGCCACATGACACAGAGGTCATAGTTACTCCAATAACAAGTATTATAAAGCAGAAACTCAAAGGTAATGTTCAAACAGAAATAAATCCAAATGTGCAATAGTGCACTCAGATAATTCTAGATCTGTTCATCAAGGTGACATCTGTATTTTTCAGATTAATACTCTGAAGGTTTAGCATTTCCAGACTATACCAGGTCGTTAATGATGAAAATGAAAGTCAGATTTTATTGCTTTTTCTGCTTTCATTTGCTTGCTTGGTCCTGCTACAGAGCAGCATGAAGGAAATGTGTCCTTAATTCTGTGGCATCAGTTAACAGGCAAAAACCAGAGAAGTCTTACTTACTGCTTTAAGTGATGGCTTAAAAAAACACTAAGAAATTACTTGATAATCAAACTAATCTCCTTCTCTCTCAGCAAACTACTACTACAGTCAATCAGATTTCACACACTTTGTGTTATTTTCAGGGTGAAGCAGGTTTTCCTGGTCCTAGGGGCTTACCTGGACTGAGAGGAGAAAAAGGAGACCGGGTGAGTGACTTGGAGCCACAAATTGATCTTTTGGCCGTGTAGCATCAAGAGGACTTACCTTGAGTGTCCCTAGATGATGTTGTCCCTTGGTGTGATGGCTGTGGTGAGCAGCTGATTGGCAACCAGCAAGGTTACCAAATAGCCAAGAAGGTGTTCCCTGTCTAGTGTGTGTTCCCAGTTGACTCAGAGGTGGTAATGAACAATATCTAACCCAAATGGGAGGAGTTGTGCCGTGCTACTTGTGAAGCAGTAGGAGAGGTTAGAACTCTAGAGGTCAGATTGCACTTTAGAACTCCCTTTCAGAATTACTTGCCTGATTTAAGGACATTTAAAATTCTTGATAACAACAAAAAAAAAAATTACTAATCCGCCTCGTCACTGAGCCCTGGAAAAGTCTTCAGATGGCTGAATTATTTTCTGATGGCTTAACTTCTACCCAAGTCCTGGTGTCTACTGCTTCCTCTGGAGAATTCTGGAGATGTCTTCATGCCAGGAAATACTTGGGTCAGGGGCCTGACAGTAAATTTAGCCACATCAGTGAGGTCTGTAATCCTGATAACTGATGACATGCTTGAATGTGATCAAGAAGGATCTAAAATCAACTGAGGTTTTTCCATGCAGTTTGCTCCATTTTATGCCTTGTAGAGCACAGGATACAGAATACATTCATGACAGAGGTTTGAAACTAAATGGTCTTTAATGTACCTTCCAACCCAAACCAAAACCAGTAATATGAATATTCACTCTGGGTCTTTACTGCTGTTTTGCTGCCTCTCTTTTTCAATTGGAAAAAAACCCTCTTTTTTATAACTGCATGAGGCAGTAGGATCTTCTACAAGCAACTTATTTTAGGATTGGTGCTTTCCTTCCTGTGAAGTCAATTGATATTCATTGGTTTTGAAAATATAGTGGATTTTTGAAGCCATCTTCAAAATGTTACATTTTTAATTTCTTGCTCTACATCTTGGAAGATAGATAACTGAGAGTGTAAAATATTTTAGTGAGGCTGATGCATTAAAATCAAAACGTGCATGTTTCTTGCTTTCCTTTCCCTGCTTTTAGGGAGAAAAAGGAAAAGACGGTCTCCCAGCAATGAAAGGTGAAAGAGGAGAAAAAGTAAGTTATGAAATGATCCTGAACTTCCTTAGACAAGAGAAGAAAACAGACAAAGGGGCAGAGACAAGTGATGGAGGAGGCTGAGGAAGACGAGAAAATTTGGAAGACTTTTAGCTGAACTTTACAGAGAAACAGCAGAAATAGCTATGTGTAGGATGGAGACAAGAATTTATTGAGCAATGAAATCTGATGAAATTAAGGATGATTTCATTAATTCAAGCAAAACTTTTTTTCTTATTTTATTTTATTTTATTTTGTTAAAATTTCCTCCTTTTTTTAGTTTTATAATTGGCTGATATAAATGAGCCTAGAACTGAAATCTAAAAAGTTTTCTGTGCGTGTCTGTGGGGGATAGAACAATAACTTAAGGAACAGTTTGGGCTTCTGCCATCACACCATTAATTTTAGTGAAAGTGAGCGAAGTAGATAAAGGTAATGTCCTCCAAAATTTACATTCAGCCCATGTGAACATGAAGGTGAAGAAGAAGCATTCACCTTGCAGATGCTTGTGGGTGTGTAGTGGAAAAACTGCCCTCATTACAGAGGCAGTGGCATTCAGGATGTGGGTTCTTCCATCAGTCCTCCGTTCATCAGTGACTTTCACCACTTGTAGAGGTGGGAATTCTTTCATGGGTGGTCCACTGACATCAATAAGGCACCTAAACCTCTTTTACCTGGGAGGTAACAAGTGTTGTTGGTAGCTCTTGGCTTTCAAGTGTCAGGGGTCAGATGTTTGTGGAGCACAGCCCACAGGAAGGTCAATGCCAGTGTTCAGGAGATCTTCCAGCAACAGTGTAGTTTTAACTCAAAATTAGGGGAGAACTGGATTTAGCAACTTAAATATTTGATGAAAACAATTTGTTTTAATCAATGAAAGAAGTTTACCTAAAACATGTTTTTCAGTCAAGACTTTTGGTCAACTTTAATTCAAAAAGCAAATTAAATTCCGTATCCTAAACTGTATGGGGTAACTTTAGAAATTTATCAACCTGTGAAGTCAGGTTGATTATAAAATCATAGAGGGATGAAGACAACAGAATGAGAATCCTGCATGCAACAAAGCAAGGACAGCGAAAAATCAGTCCAGAAGTGTCACAGAACTGGGGGGTTGGGTTACATCTCATCTGGTAATGCTGCATCTTCTGAATTATAATGTTGAGTTTTATTTGGGAATCTTTTTATGTAATTAGTTACATTTTTTTCCTCTCTCCAGGGTGACACAGGTTCCCCTGGACCCCCAGGCGTACCTGGAACAGTAAGTAAGATTGTGTTTGGTGTTGTAACAATATTAAAGGTGTCATTCCTTCACATAAATACCTCAGAAACAATTTTCAAGTTTCTCATTTCCTCTGCAGAAACTTTGGGACTTATTTACTCTGAGATTATCTCCTTTTGTTTCAGAGAAGCAATATCAAGGTTTATTTGGTCTTTTTAATTTTTTTTTTTTTTGTAAGGTTGTACCTTCCTCTGCCTCTTTGCAAAAAGCAGACTGAGAGTACATAAATTTATTGCTTTCAAAATGAAGATACACAGTTACTTTGGGGAGCCTGAGTGCAATTACAATGAAGTTCACTGGTGATTAAATCAGCACCCACTGAATGTAAATACACAAACCTCTGAGTTCCCTCTAAGAAAACCTGAGTAAGCATCTTGGAGTGAGCACCATCATTGCAACTAGAGGACTTATGCCAGTCACAGATCCTCCAGGACATGGCACACATCCTCTCATGAACTCTGCCCTCCACAGCTGGATACAGCTGCCTCATTGACAGATTATGGAGAAAATTTGAATCAAGGTCTGTTGGTTGGTGAAAATCGAGTGCCTAAAGACCTTGACGCAGCAATGGAGTGTTGGAATATGAAATGCAGGAAATTCTCAGAAGTTTGGGCCTGTATGCCAAAGCTTAGAGTTCAACACAGGATTTTATCTGAGACCTTGGAAAAGACTTCCAAACTTAGGTGATAGAAGCGAGAATGTGGATTTATAGTTTAAAGCAGACACACGTTAAGTTAAGAAGAGGAAAGTTTAGAGTTTGAGATATAGAAAAAATAAAAATAGTTACAAAGGTAGGCAGGAAGTTTAGAATGCAGTTCTGTGGGTTTTTCTGTCATAACGTGATTGGTTAAGAGAGCTTACACTGTGGCATGAGTCCATAAGACAAAATATTTAAGGATTGCGTCAAAAACATAAATATCCTTGTTGGCAGTGTTTTATTTTTATTTAAAAGGTCTTGTAACTAGAGGTCTTGTGACCTTCTGAACCATACTATGAAGATGTAAGCCGAACTCACCCTTCTTGCCTGTGTAGAAGATAAAAATGGAGTCTAAAAACTCAGAGGTCCCGTCTCTAACTCATTCAAAATTCCTTCAATAATCCCCATAATGGAGAAGGTGGTTTAATTTACTCTCTGCCATTAGCTGGGCCTCTGTCTATGCCAGATCATTTCATGGTGCTTTGTGTAGAAAGACTCCATGTGTATCAGACAAGAATGACCCAGTCACACACCAAAGATGAACCTGTGTTGGTAAAAACAGAAAAGGCAGCTCACAAACAAATACAACATGGCTGGACATGGAGAAAATGTGTGCCACTGCTTAAGCTTCCTGTGTGTGTAGGGAGAAATTATTTCTGTTTGTCATGGTTTAGGAATGATAGTCCCCAGCTGAGCATCCCTGATCCCCCAAGACCCCAAAACCACCCTCTGGTCACTACTTCCACTTCTCCCCTCTTCCACCCATACGTGCCCAGAGAGGACAACTGGAGGCACAAAGGGCAAAGATTGTGGGTTGGGATAAGAACAATTTATGGAAACATCAATAAGATAAGAAAACAAGCAATAGCAGCAACATTAATAACAAAAGTGGACAAAAGAGGGAGTGTGGAGCTTGACCTGACTGCAGCCATGCCACCCAAAATGTTCCCTCCAGTCAGGACCAGCATTATCCCGCTGCTCCACCTGCCTCGCTTACTTGAAATAAGGGGATGTCCTTCCCTTCTCCAAAGTGAGAGAAAGAAGCTCTTTCCTCCACCCCTGGCAGTGGCATAAGGTGGTAATAAATAACATCATGTCTTGGCCGTGCTCCCTGCCTGCCACTGATCTTGGCTGGAACCAGGGCACTGTTTCAGCTGTTAAAAGTAGGTAATGCTTTTGACATGTCTTCATGTCATCAAGGTCTGTTTTTTCCTTCAATGTCTTATCAGCTTTGAGTAAATATACTGTCTCTTTCTAAAAAACGTTATCATTTCTTTTTGTGGCTATTCCTTCAGAGTGACTATGTATTCCCATAGAGATTTCATGTACTTGGTACAAAGCAGAGGGAGAACACTCCAAGCTTATTCATGGTATCAGGAAATTTAATAATACAGAAGATGGCTCCAAGTGGAAAAATGAGCTGGAGATTACTAGCAGTAAAATTGCTATAAAGTTTAAAGATTGATTGTTTTTTCATCATGGTAGGGCACACAGGATAGTCTTGAGTTTATGTTCATATTTCAAATGTTCTGGGAGATGTAAGATATTTGTGGGCTTCTTTCCAAACACCCAGATGTTACAATGGGTTACTGTTTTATAAACGTACTTGTGGAATGTATGGAATGTGCAATCTGTAATGACAGGGGTGTATGTAAACTATTGCATTTTAAGGAAAATAGGCTATCCTGTTTTTAACACTCTGGTTTCTGTTCCAGACAGCCTTCTTCACCCCACACCCCAGGATTCCTGTAAGTAACATCTCTAATAAATATGGCCTCTGTTTTATCCCCTATTGTATCTGATAGACACACCCCTTAGCATTTTCTGTGTTATTTAAATGCTTTCAGTAAAGAACCCAGATTGAGTCTAGTTCTGGGCATCCTCAACACTGTAACCAGCTATGATGAGAAGTCCAAAGCTGTGCTGGTAAGATCAGCAGTCAAGCCAGCTGTGGCTGGGACAGAGCTGTGCGCTATCCCAGCCTCTGAAACCGAGTGTAAAATGAAGATTTTGTTCCCATTTGTAGCACTTAGAGGGAAATAAATAGCATAACATGATCTGTGAATAAGTTTGTTGTGGATCAAGGTTTCATGGATGGCAGAGGTAGGCTGTAGGAGTGCCATTAGAAAGAGAACATATATGCCAGGTTCTTCAGAGGCTGAGGAAGGAAATAAGGATGTGAAGTAGTACTGGAGAGGGAGACAAGATTTCTTTGGCTTGCTCTTCCCCTTTGCTCAAAGGTTATACTTATATATTTATATATATATGCACTCTAAGGAAGTATGCAGAACAATGACATCTTCTGTGGTCTTTGTAGTGCTACAGTCACAGAGAGTTTTTCCTTTTGCTTTGAGAACATTGCTTTGGTAAATGAACTGCAAGACAGTAAGAAATAAAAGGGTTGAAGTGTGTCAGCTGTTCCATTTGTTGGGATTTCTCCATGTGCAAGATGACTGTGGTGACACCTGCCACAGCACAGCTCTGCACTGTGAGGGAGGAGAAGGTAAGAACAGTTGGATGTACAGGTGTACACATTAAAGTGTCAGAAAGAGGTGATGAACCTTTGGAGAGTGTCGTGGGTAATGTTACAGAGGTGGCAGGACCAGCAGGGTGTTGACAGGTGTCATGTACTCTCCAAAAACCAGTCCTTGCCATTGCTTCCCATTGAGTCTGTGTTCTATTGTACCAGGGAGCTATTTCCTATATATTTAGGCTAGTCAGTTAGGATCATTAAACAGTGGTGGTCAGGTATAATGGCTGGAAAGAGGCAAAAGCAGTAAAAAATGAGGTGGCTCTTCACTTTGCCTTCTGTCTCCCACTGTGGCCAGGCAGAGCTGATCTCCCACTGCACTTGCTTTCCTTTAAGCACAGGAATTACTGGGGCATAATTGAGACTACAGAAGGACACTGCTGAGAACAGATCATGGGAGCTGTAAGTCCTCTTCTGGGCCAGGCTGGTGGCAGCTGTCAGCTGTCACTCTGTCTTTTCTGTGCTCTGAAGTGTAGGTAAGAAGTGGGTGGCAGTGGATTAAGAGCAGCTGCCAGTGGGCAGCACTAGCAGGCAGTGTTAACAGCCTTGGCAGAGCCATGGATTTGGCAAACTGGAAAGGACTCACAGGCAGATTTGCTGGTGGGTTCTGTTAACAAAAGCCAGTTGTGTCCTGGGCTGCAGCAATGACCAGCAGGTCGAGGGAGGTGATTCTACCCCTCTGCTCTGGTGAGACCCCTCCTGGAGTGCTGCATCCAGCTCTGGAGCCCCCAAAACAAGGACATCTTGGATCTCTTGGAGCAAATCCAGGGGAGGCCACAAAGATGATCAGGGGATTTAAACTGTCAGAGGGCAGGTTTAGATTAGATAATTGGAAGTAGTTCTTTACTGTGAGAGTGCTGAGACACTGGCACAGGTTGTCCAGAGAAGCTGTGAGTGTCCCATGCCTGGAAATGTTCAAGGCCAGGTTGGATGGGGCTTGGAGCAGCCTGGTCTAGTGGGTAGCATCCTTTCCAATGGCAGAGGGGTTGGAATTAGATGATTTTAAGGTCTCTTTCTCCCCAAATCATTGTATGAATCTATTGAGAAATCCTTCCTCTGCCCATGACTGTGGCTGTTAGATTTTGCACTGCTGTGCAAGTCAAATATCAAGGAAAAAGTGGAAGAAAGGAAAATCTTAAAAATTTTCCCTATTTACCTCTTGCATTGCTTCTTTGCTTTGCAATTTTGTTTTCCCTGGTAATGTACATCCTTTTTCCCACTCCGTAGCAGCATCCCTGCCTACAAATATACTGACCTATGTCTGTGCTTTGTCATTCTGCTCTCTCAAAAGAGTTTCAGAATTTGAAATGTCATTACACAAAACAGCTTCCAGGCACAAACATAGAGATTTGCAGCTTTAGCCCCTTTGCTTGAGCTGTTTTAGGTGATCCTGATGTTTTTCTGAAGGACACTAGATGGCATCAGGCACTGCCTGGTTAAAAGTCGATCTAATGGGATGCTGTTTGTAGAGTAAAATTCCTCCCATTATTTACCACAGATTATAATATTTATTCATCATGCATAATTAATACAAGCATAAGTAATATTTATGCAGCTACACTTATTTTGTCTGTTAGAGAATCATTTGAAAATGGACTGTGAATTCCCAGGTGTTGCAGAAATGATTGGCAAATAGCAGACATAAATAAAATTCAAGCTGATTTGTCTGGCTCTGCATTTTGGCTGATCACTATTCCTTGCTTGTATGTGTAGCTTAAATCACTGATGTTCTTACTCTTCCTTGATTGCATAATTGAAACACTTGGTATGATAAATAATGAATAAGTAATGATTGCTGTTGACTGAATACATACGTTCATAACAATATACAAAAGTGAGTATTCATGTAATACCTGGTTTATTCCAGCTAGTTCCATAATTGTGTGCTTTCCTTTTCAATTTATAAAAAGCAGACATATGGATTTATTGATTATTGCTCTAGACCACAGGACAAAGCTGATGAACTTCTGTCTGAATGCATATTCAATTTACTGTAAGGAGGAAGAACAGGAATAAATTAATCTTATTAGGCAGTGGTGGTGGTGCATGAAAAAAATGTACTGGCATTGCAGGAGGGAGAGGAAGCTGCATGGATGTATGGAGATGTTAATAGAGCTAGAGATCAGGACTTGCTGTGTAGTGCCCACCTCTGGAAATGCTCCAGATGATCACTGGACACTTCACTTTTGTAGATGGAATAGGGAACTGTCTTCATCTGGGATCACTGTAGGATGACATTAGGGCTGTGGTCCTACTGAGAGGCAGTGCAGTGGCACCGGTGCTTTTGCTGTTGTTCACATCATGTGGCCTGTCAAAACATCAGAGATTAATTTTTTGATTTTGGGTATATTCTTAGCTGCTCTTCTGCATGAGGGCAAAATGTTCTTTTAAGCTGAGTATTTCTTCAGTTAGTATCAGAACAGCCCAAGAAGTCTAGACAGTGATCTCCATATCTTAATGTGGCATTCAGTTTTGACTCATTGACATCAAGCTGCTTTGAAGAAGCTATTTTGTGTCAGAAATGGGTAACTGATTGAGAGAGCCCACTTACTAAACAGGACTAGTGTGAGTTCCAGCCCTGGAAACAGCTTTTATTTCTCTCTTTGTCTTACTGTTTTGTATCAGGGTGAACCTGGACCAAAAGGGGACAAAGGAGATCGAGGAATGACTGGAGAACCTGTAAGTATGGCCAAGTACATCAAGAGGGGACATGGGAGTGGTCAGTTTTGGAGGGAGAGGGTGGGACATGCTCCTTCTGTAGCTGGGATGCTTCTCTCATCAGAAATAGCCACAGTGGTGCTTATCTTTGTGCTGCCTGTAGAGGAAGCTACACGACTACTGGAGTTTAAGCACCTAATCTATAGCTCTGGGCCTTAGTAGCTGAAAAGAGGACTATGGGATTTGCTAGGCAGGGCTTGGCTGGCAGTAATTTATGTGCAGGATTTATTAAGGGATTTTAAAGTGATGTGGCCCAGCTAAATTGTGCATTTGGGTACTGTATTTGTATTCTGGACTCTCTTGTTCTGGATGGAGCTCCCAGAAAAGACAGAGCCCTGTGCAGTGACAGCCTCTGTAAAAATCATACTTACCTCAGTGGAAAGAGCTCCTTTACCTCTCCCTCTGTTTTGCAGGGATTACCTGGGGTCCCAGGTGAGCAAGGTGTGCCAGGACCTGCAGGAGTACAGGTAAGAGGGACCTTGAAGAAAATCTTTGACATGAGTAGAGTGGAGTGCCCTCAAGGTCTGTATCACTGTAAATAATCCTTCCTGTAACACCAGCAGCCCATTTCTTTCTTTGTCTTTTTTTGAACCTACTGTCATAGGTTCAGGGAGTTCTGTAGAGGTTTTTACTTCTGTTGGACTGCAGGACAATAGGAGGAAAATCAGCTCAGAAATATATTATCTCTGTAGCATGGTCAGTATTGTCTGAGAGGCTTCTTTGAGCTTCATGATCCTTCAAGAGGGCATCTTGTACTGCTGCTGCCAAAGCACAGGTCTTGCAGATAAATCACGTTTCCAAAACATTGCAGAGCAGTCAGATTCATCCCTAGCTCATCTGACCTGGAATGAGCAATTGGTGCAAGCCATCTTCAGAAGATTTATTGTGTCACACAAAACTATTTCAAATCAACACTGAGGTGTTTCAATTCAACATGGGTAGATGTTCACTCTGCCATCATATATGCTGTGCTCAACCTATATAATCATCAATACTTGGGCATCAACACCTTAAACAGGTGTCTGAGCATGTCTTAACAGCAGTCTGAACATTCAAAAAAAAAAATACCCCAAACCAAACAAAACCAAACCTCCAAAAACCCAAGAAAAAACACAGTAATGCCATGCAACTTTTAACTAACATCTGCTAAATGTGGGACAGTACAGTTAGTAGACTTTGTCCTGCAAAAATTCTTCAGAAAGGTCTCTCTGATATGTATGATTAAGACAAACCCTCAGCATGGGGATCTATTATTATCATTTCTAGATGACTGATGTTTATATTTCAGAACTGTAGGTGAGTCTTCTGTGAAGGGAGACCATCAAAGTTCAGCAGGAAATTAAGTAGTTGGTAGGCCTGAGGATAGGAAAAAGATTCACCCATATGAATACCTGCAAGTTTCAGCATCCTGTGCTGAAAAGCAGTATGTGAGCTGATTAGTAACTCTTGTGAAGTCTCAGGGTTTTATTTTTATAGTTCCTTTTCTTGCTGTGTAGAGATCTGGGAGCTCTTTCCTCAGCCATTAACTCCTCTGTGAATTGGTTAACAAAAGCAATTCCTAGTACACATTCAGGCATCTTGAAGCCTTTTCTTCTGGAGGAGGTCTCCTTCCATGTCTAATCAGCTGGTATCTCTCCTTTCTGCACAGGGTGCAAAGGGGGAGAAAGGAGCCCGAGGAGAGGCTGGAGCCCCTGGAGAGACTGTGAGTAACTGCTTCCCTTGCAGCATTTTCCCCTAGCAGTAACACACCTGAAGGGACACTGGCATCAACATCTTGTGGATTTGCAGTCCCAGGCTGCTTGATCACAGAGCACATCCTCATCCACAGCTGGAAGAGACTGTTTGTGGGCAAACAGGACCATCTGCACCAAACAGATCAATGCCCCATTCAGCCCAGCTCAAGGTTGTGCATCTTTTCCTGCTCAAATCTCTCCCTGCCTAACAAAACACCCTTTTCTGAGAGAGTGTGACTGCACTGCAATGTCAGCCCAGCTCAGGCAGTCAGCTGGAGCAGGGAGCTTACTGCTCACCAGCAGCAGGAAGTGGTTTTGATCATGGGTTCTTTTAAGCTTCACTGTCAATTCTGCTTTTTTTTTTTTTTTTTTTTTTTTTTTTTTTTTTTTTTAATATTTTTGCCTT